CCCCAAAAAAAACCCCTTCCTGTTAAGACTGTTAGAAAACTGTTTAAAACAAAGAAATTAATGAAGCAGGTCTACCCTGATCAGTAGAAAGTACTGACCATTTCTCGGATATGCATTTCCCACGTAGACAAGTTAAAGGGCCACAATGCACCTTAACCTATATACTTACAAATCTGTCAAAACACATCTCGGACTGATCACGCCAAGACTAACTCAGGTGCATCATACATGGTGTATATAGATGAAGTAAAGAAGTTGCATAAAATTTATTTTTCCACCTTGTTTCACAACATTCCCTTTTAAGTTTTTACACATCTGCAACATATAACTCCACAGAACAATAAATAATTGGCATTCATATTTCTCTTGAATCAAGAGTATTTACACATTGTTTAACTAGACGACAGGTACAAAACATCGGCATCACAGTAAATATCATTTTGACACCAGAATCCATTTCCCCAATTAAAAATTAAATTAACTTAACATTTTTTTTTAAACAATTTTAACAATTAAAAATGTTCTCAAAGGCATGTAAGTACACAAGTTGTAGTAGGCAGTAGTAATGGACCATATTGGCAAAGCTGTAGAATCCAGGATTTCATGCAAATCAAAGAGTTTATTAATTATGAAATAACTAATAATAAATAAAAAATAAAAGAGCCCATCACGCTGAAGATTTTAGTGGGCACTGGACTGGCCCCAGCAACTGTGGAGATGAGTCAAACCCCATCTGAACAGTTGTGTGCAAAGAACTTGTGACGGTGAGCTGCATGCAATAGTAGTTCACATACCTGGTTTAGAGCACTGCTCGTGCAAGCCAAGGATTTATGATGCATCAGATGGTGCAGCAGCTTTCTTCAAATGATAAAGCCAAAAGACAGGCTTTAGGATTCACACACCTAACTCTCTGGGGCTCCCTGACAAACTCAGTTCAACTATAGCAAAGTTTTCCTCAGCAGTTGCAGAGGACGAGAGCGGTTGTCACGGCGTTTAATCGTGATAGCTCAGCAAACCACAGAAAAACAACGCCTTTGGTGCTGCTCAGTTTGGTCCAGTCACAGCTGTAAGCTCTCAGCACGTAGTTCTCAACACCGAGGGGACACTAGGGATGTCACTAACCGCTCCCCAGCCTGGTTCTGATAAGACCCTGCACAGATTTAAGCTGCTGCTGTTGAATAAAGAATGTTGCATTTCAATTGCACTATGAGATGGGCAAAACAAATGTTTGCAAAGATAAACAGGACAAGCTCTACGGAGGAAACAAATACAGAGTTAAAGAAAAAAAAATGAAGAGGGTTGCGACACACCTGGAATTACTGCAGAGATGCAAGAAGAGAACAGTGCATGTCACAAAAGCTCCACGTTAACTAACCACCGCAGCAGCACAGCACAGAGCGGCGTTGACTTCCCTAAAGCAGCCATGGGAAGCAAGAGCACACTGTGAGACACACACCGCTACCCTACAGCATCACTTGGAGCACAGTCCCAAAGCACACAAGTTCTACAAACTGCTCCAGTACACAAACCAGAACAAAAAAAGGAATAGGAAGAACACTAAGTAAGGCTACAAACAAGATACTACATAGAAGAAGAAAACAATGCTTCACTCCCAATAAACAAAAATTATGAGCATATAGAGGAAAAAGATAATTAAATTTCCAGCAGAGAATCCATTTATTCAAATATACAGTAAGTATGAACATATGTATCAAACTTTGCTTTTAAAAACATTTTAAAATAACTTAAGAGAAATAGATTGCAGACATAAAGTGCTAAACTTGAAAAATACAACAATCATTCCTCTTTCCTGCTGTTTGTTAGATGGCAGTTTTAATTTTCTGATTGCTTTAAAAAATGCAGTGCATACCCAGACAGAAATTACTTCCTGGATTTACAACTTTGTGCAAAAAAACTAGCTGCAAAGGAATATAATTTGCACCCCAAAACACAGCTACAGATTACTATCAATTTCACTAAATATGCATCCTTATTAAAGTTATGATTCAATGAATATAACCGAAATCACAATTCACTCCCTTTCTTGGTGTAAGCTAATATTTTGCAAATATGGTCCACTCAGTGTAAACTGTATTGACTTCAGGAAACAGTGAATTCTACCATATATACGTCTCAAATATTTACATACAGTAGCATGGCACTGTTATTCTTGCAGGACATTTAACTACTAATACACACTAGATAGGAACAGGGCTTTACAAAGATGCGTACTACGTGTTTGCCAACAGACAAGAGAGTCTTGACTTCTCAGTCACAAGAAGTTGCCAAAAGAAATTCTTGATTCTTGTATTTAAATCTACTTAAATCAAATGCTGACTGGGGACTCCAGAACACCTGCATGGCTGACACTACCCAGGAGCTGTGGCAAGTCACGATAAAGACAACATTAAGTATCTTTTTGGCAAATTGGCATTACTCACAAAAGGCTGTTAGCCCAACTGCCCCACAAATGGGCTGTTCAGGCAATGCTTTTTCTCTGCGAGACAAATCACTGAGAAGTGTCGGAGTTCTAGGGCCTTTCCCAACATGAACATGCATGTCAAATGGGCAGAAAAATATATTATTATTGTTTTTAGGAAAAACATTTAGAAGAGAAGGAAAGAAAGGCAAATTTTCAAAATATTGAAAATGTTGAAAAGGTGAATACTAAGAATTATCTTTCCTTAGTCAGTAGGATGTTTCTAAAGTTGGTTGCTACTTATCAGGACTTCTGACAAGAGTCTAATCAGAAGACTGGCACAAAAGAAAAAACAGTGTGTTAGATTAAAGAGCATTTGCTGTTCTTATTCCTGAAGGATTTTGAAACATAATTTTCTAAATCAAGCGGGTTTCCCCCACATGAAGTAACAACAAGGTCATATGGATTTGCACCTTCCACTCACCCCAAGCCACACGCATTATGAAGCACATCCAATTTTTCTTTAAATCTTCTGAAACTTGCTTCCCCTTCTCTTTGAAGGAACTGAGAGCAAGGAAGGCAGGTCAGGTTGTGCAAAACATTCCCCGGAGCAATTACCACACATCGACCACACAAGCCAGGGCTATCTTAGATCTGAAAATTCAAGACGTACCACAACATGGTATGGGTCAACACAGACTCCAGCTCTTTTAAAACAACACTCCTATTTTCCACCGATTTTCACACCAGACCTTTTAATGCAGCATTGTGCTGCTTGCAACAGTGGAACGCCTGTAGCAATGGCAACAGAAGCTGGCAGTCCATTAAAGAGGTTCAGCACGGCACAGAGACGACCAGGGAGCTTCTGCTCCTCACACCAGCGTGGTTGTCCTGACCTGGAAGGGCTGCCTTGAGCAAGGAGAAGGGAGCTCAGGCTCTGGGCTTTGCCATTCCTGGTCCCTCTGCGCAGCCAACCAACAACGGCGCCAAGCAGTGCCAGCTCCAACGGTGGTTTTTGTGATGTGGGAATGAGACAGTAAGCAACTAATTTAGTACAGACTAAACAGCCATTCGATGAGGATGGCTGCCACTAAAAGCTCATCCATGTCTGACACATGGACCCAATGGTAAAAGGTTCCCGTAACTCTGGCATTCTCCTGAGCAGCCTAAGTATGTGTTGCTCTCCTCACGGTGTTACAGTGTGGGCCAATGCTTATTATAAAAACAGAACTCATTGAGTTTTATTTTTGAAAATTAAAAATCAGTAAGTAAATTTGCTCTGCACACGAGCCTAACGCCTTTGTACGAACGCCACTTCTGCCTCTGTGATTCACGTTCGGTTTTTAGAGCAAAGCAAGTGCAAGGTTCTCAAAAACTGCCTGTCTGCAGGGAGCGTGTCACGAACAACATCCACCTAGGAGTGCCTCAGCTTATTTGCAGCTCATCTTCACAGTTTCACCCTAACAGGAAACAGATTTCGTGTAGCTGTGAGGAGTAGCAGCTCTGTGACCTTTCCTTTTAGTCTCCAAGGATTCAAGACACGTCTGCCACATTGTCTGCAGAACAGTACGAGTCTCTTCTCACGTTGTCGACACACTTCAAGTCTGATCAACTGCAAATTTCTTTTCCAAAGAGGATTTGCTTTAGTTTAGATAATTTTCTCCTATACAAATAAATACAGAGTAAAGCTATTATGTCACAAGCTCCTTTTAACAGGAAGCACATAAACTAAACAAAACTGAATTTCTTAATTTTGGACTACATTTCTTTGTATTTATCAATGACTGGATACCTCCAAAATCACTAGGGTGACCACATTTCAACTGAAGGAAAGTTTCAAACACGCTCAGATTCTCAAGTGTGTGTAGATCCGACATGCTGGAGCCCCATTATGGAAAAAGCATGCCATAAATCAGGAATCAGCTGTCAGCAGCATATTGCATCACCTACATTAAGGGATTTCCAAGATGTAAAAAGAATGTAACTACTTGAATCAAAAAGATAAATAATATAAAACAACATAACACAATGCAAGGAACAGCACAGATACTTAAAAAGTAACTTAAATTTGTCAAATGTAAATTCCAAGGTCAGTTAGCAGCTTTCAGATACTTTTAACCATCCATGAGAAATCCATCGTCATTGCAGTTACATGCATTTGACCCCAGTTAAGTTGAAGAAACGTGACAAGAACTGGATGAACTAACAAGTGTCTCCACCCTCAAAAAAATTCCCTTTTATCGTTAGGTTTCTGTTCACAGCAGTTGTGAAGTCTTTTTTCAATAAAGCAGCATGTAATAGAGATTACCACATGATCCTTATGCAAATATCGGACGTATTCGTTATAGTAACAACTACATGATTTTGTCTCTCAGCTATGTGCAATATTTGTCTCTGGTGTGCAAGGAGAGCAGCCCTAGGATGTGAGCTTCGAATAGCTTGGGGGAGAAAACCTTCGTCTCAGGTACTTCAGGACGTAGAGGGGAAGGCAGCTCACCAGAGTGATGACGGTGACTTTCCACAAGAACGACAAAGTTGCAATGAAGTAAACATCTGTAGAAAGAAAAGAGCACAGAGTCAATGAAATGGGAAGTATGCTCTGGGAAGAGGTGCAGAAAAGCAATTCAATCTACCAACGCTTCTTAAACAGCCTCAACTTCTCGACACGCAAGTTTAAAGCTATATGATCCCTGGTACCTCATTCTTCTGCCCTTCTCTTCCGAAGATACAGCTTTCTACACAGCACATTTCAGTAAGGCATGCAACTCCTCACAGGCAAGTGCCCATACGTACCCCATGTGAAACAGGGCTATCCATCTCCTGGCAATACTAAGCTTCCTTTAAATGGACTACTTTTCTTCTGACTCTGGAAGCTGCCCTCTGCTATCTTGCTGGTAGTCCAGCAAATGCATCTCTTGACTCAGTTATAGTATCTCAGAATCATTACAAAAATAGTTGAAGCATCGTTCAAAATGGAGCTGGCATACCCATATGCAAGAGATACAGATCTAGCCCATTGGGAAGTTATCCTCATTGTCTTCAGAGTTAGCAAAGAGCTTTATGGAAGAAGTAGTGACATCTTGTGGTTCCCGAACGAACACTGGAACAAACCCTACGGATCTGATATTTGCAACTAGACAGCTACTGGGGGAATCTGGAATTCCTCACCTTTTTTCCTTTAGCCAGGGAAAAAGATTAGCTCTGTTCCAGGAAAAAAAAAGCAGGACCCCGCCCCCCCAAACAACAACAAAGAAAACAACCAAAAAAAACCCCCAAACCCACAAAAGAAGGGCCCCACTGTCCCAATGAAGCAGATAAAATAAGGCAAGTTTTAGGAGGCAGCTACTTCACCCAGTTAAAAGATGAAATCTTTCAACCCAACAATAGAGGATCAAATTTTTAGTCTCAAGTTCATTTCTCATACGGAAATAAAGACCACTATTACATGACAGCTGATGCGTGGTGGAGCTCTGAAAGTGAGGATGAGATTCATTGAGCAGTGTGCAGTTTACCGACCACCTTTACCTCCTCTAGCGTTTTGCTAGGAGAAGGAACCATAAAACATCTTTCAGGTGCCTTCAAATCAAATAGAGTTTATTCTGGTCAGAGCCACCGACATTGTAATTATGCTGCCTTCACCAACAGCCTTTAAACTCAATTCATGTCCTTACAGTCCTGTTACTATTTAGGTCATAAACCAACTGATTGGAGCAAAGGCATTCAACCTTACCAATAAACTCATGTAAGAAGACCAGAGAAGCAATGTAGCAGGAGAGACTAAGCAGCTCAGCCACTATCATGAGCCAGTGCCACGTCTGGATCGTCAACGCCACCATCAGTAACTCGGTGAGAATCAAGGACGTGAAGGAAATGGCGACAATGTGGACAAATTCAGATTCAAAGAGGAGGAGTGCTCCATACATGATGATGCTACCTGCAAGGGAATGGAACATTTGGCTATTTTATTTAAACACCAGTCTAAGCTCTAAAACCTGCTAGGTCTTGGAAAGGCTGAAACATAGTCATGTCTTGAGACTGTTTTTCATGAAACCTGATGAATGTAATGACAATGAATCAGTTACTATTTAGGAGACAGAACTGATGAGAAGATAGGGAAAAGTTACAGCAGAGGTGCCTAGACTTTTATAACAGTCTATCATATTCATAGACACATGGAGATAGGAAATTAACATACGCTATTTTGGCAACTGGAGATTTCTAACATCACAAAACTCTATCTTCCCAGAAAAGCAGCTGGTCACTACTCAGAAGCTGAAAGATATCAAATATTTCTAAAACCTACTGCATTGCCTCAGTGCCCAGATGGAAGCAAGGTGTTGAAAAGTTCAGTGGATACAAGATAGCCTCTCTCTGCACTACTTCGGCCAAGATCTCTCCCCTTTACACTTTCCCCTAAAAGGAGTACACGTTAAAGCACTGTTAATGATGCATTGTTTCGTGCTCCTATTTGGCTAGCCAGGGAATGTTCACAACGCCCCGCACAGCCACCTGCACAAATAACTCATGTTAGCAGCATGAGTAATCCACACCAACATCCATCACACTAGGCTAGTTTCGGAAGGGAAAACCTGCAAGTGACTAGAGCTCGAGCCACAAAGTTCAAATCCAGCTGTGAACTTTCCAAAATTTAGGACTGCTCAAGTTTTCAGTCACGCTCATCTCTGCTAGCAACTAGCCCAATTGTTTGGCCTGCTGTTTTCTAGTTATTTAGCACATCAGAAGTGAAGTCACTTTAACCAAATATTGTAACCAGATAGTGGTCTTAGCTCAAGAAGAAATCTTTCCCTCAATGCATCACCCTCTGGCTTTAGCTTTCCACCACTTGTGAGTTTTCTACAAATGCCTTGGCTTTGCCATCATATTTATACAGCATCAGAAGACGATTATCCTTGTCGTAGGGTTCTACCGTATTAGAATTCGTAAGATAACGCCAAGAGAGCTTTTATATTCTTAGTTTCACTGCCTCCTGAGGATGGTAATATCGATTAAATCAATAAGAATTAGCTGCTTATTTTGGCACATTTATTCTGAATCTTGCTGATAAAGAAGTTTTGGAAAACAAGAAATTTTGTCACAGAATCATACTGCCATTTTAGCTTTATAGCTCCACATTATTTACATGTTTTCCATGATTCCCTGATTAACACTTACAGAAAGTATTTGAGTTTGAGGTTACTTGATAAAAAAAGACAAACTGAAAGAAAAGACCTTCTTAGACATATACCCCAATTACTACATCCACTTTTGGAAAATAGATGCATTGTAATTAAGGCGTTTGCTTAACTGTTTTAGCAGTCTAATTGGAGTGTATGGGATATGATCAAGAACCTGAGCTCTACGCTAGTCCTTCATTACAGATGGCTATGAAGTAACCAGAACTATTGCCACTTCTCATAGACAGGGTTTAGATAAAATACATAAAGCTCAGATTCTGTATTTTGCATGCTAACTAAATAACCTGTATAATCTACAGGTTTGAAAACCTTTCTCAAAAGAAGGGAAGAGTCACAAACTCTACTTTACAGATGGAGCAATTAAAGCACTGAAGGGAACTTGCACAAAATTACAAAGCATGGTCCCAATGGGAAGAGGCACAATGCTTTGAACTTCTACATCATTGCCTACAACAGGGTTGACCAGTTGCTGCCAATATTTAGTTTTAGATAATTTCTTCCTTTGGTAATGCTGCCAACATTTTTCGAGACAAAAAAAGTATTTATTCATTATCCCAAGGATGCATTGCTAAATTCACTTCATGCCTTATTTAACTTCCTGCAATACAAAAAATTAGATATTCTGTACTCATTGAAACATCTAAAGGCACAAGCAGAAGTTGATTTCTTACCTTGATAGATGCTTATTAAGACCCATATTAAAAATGTTTTGTATGATAACGGTCGTCCCTAGGGAGGGGAAAGAAAAAAAAGACAAAGCTCCATTGGGTTTTCTTTTATGAACATTCACTTACAGATCAACCCAGCAATTAATAAAAGAGAATTTGAAGGTTATTTGGAAAGAAAACAAAGCAAATCAACCAACCCCAAGGTACTACCTCTTTATTCTCATTTTTCATGATGCACGAAGGAGGAGGCCTGGGACTGTGGAAGCTCACTGCTTGCACAGTACAGTACAACCTCTTCCTTACTGCACACACGATTAATTCAATGCAAAGATGTCTCATGAGTTTAGTCATTGTACTGTGAATATAAGATGTGTGTATACACACATATATGAATATATTAATATTATATTTCTAGACACACACACACACACAAATCACCATCATATTGAAGGCAGATAGTTTTTTTAAAAAGCATCTCCAGCCAACACAGCTATACCAGTACAAAAAAATCCTATGTTTAGACCAGGCCTAAGGATGGTTGGAGAATTAGTGGTTTATGACATAAGAGACAACATACAAGTGAAACCAGATGGAGACTTATTCAGGCTGTTGGAAAAACAGGCTTTGCTTCTGAGAGTATCTGTTTAACAGAAATCCTTGAGGGAAAGGATCTGTTGAAGACTCAGTCCACCCTTTCCTTCAATTAAGAAGGATGTTCCCAGTCTGCATACCCCAGTTATTAAAAAAATTTTCCAGGAAATAAAAAAAAAAAAAAAAAAAAAAAAAGAAGGAACCTAAGACAAGATTTACCTTCCTGATATTTCTACGGTAAATATCAAATAAAGTTTTCTTTGTCTAAGGAGAAGGACCTGACTTTCATGCTAAAGCTACAAAAATGGCACAGCAACCAAACCTTTAGGTCCCTTCAGATCATCCTCAAGGCAAATTTCTATTCACAAAACTACGTGATAACCTCCTCCCTCCATCAAATGAGCATATCCCTTCCCGCCATCCCCTTTTTTGGCTTCAGGATAGTGCCAAATCTCCGACAATTTCTCTTTCCCCTTTATTTTGGAACAAATCAGTAACATTAAATCCTTAGAATTTCCCACAGAATGGAACTTCTATTTCCCCAGTCGTTTTTAATAAATTGCATTTCATGTAGCATTCAATAACAAACTGCCAGGAAATCTGGTTGCATCTGTTAATTCAAATTTGCCTTTAAAACAATTTTGCTTGAAAATGCATGATAAAGTTCTGTATCTGCTGATAATGTATTTGACTTTACACATTTAGAGAGTTTCAAATCAAGACAGGGATCTTGCCTTAAACCAAAACAGACAAACAAGAGTCTCCCACACCTTAAGAAGATCTTTGTAGAGCTCTGGGTACAACATTGCAACTTCAGATTTAACATCCTTGTCCAGGACTAGAGAAAACACTGGAAACATTGTGTAAATTGTAGAGTACCTGGGAAGAAGGCAGAACCAGTATATTATCTAAGGTGTAGATGAGCAAACAGAAATGCTATTCTTCAGAAAGAAATACAGTATTCTTGAAGTGCCAAATGATATACATATTATAAAAACTTGCAAATGGAACACACCAGAGTTTTGCATGTAGGAAAAACCTGTAGGATTTGCTTTTTGAATAGCTTTTGATTAGAAACACTCATACACAGATGATTGGTTCAAGTATTGCAACTGGTGTTATAGGGTTATTAATGGAGCCAAGGACAGACCTGTCCCCACCCCAAAGTTTGGCTCTACAGTTCAGGCTTGATCCTGTTTGCATCAAAAGGCAATGGAGATGAATTTGCTGTTTGTTTTTTAATTAAGTACTCGAAAGTCTATAAAGTCATGGGATTACAAGTGCAATCACAGTATATTTTAGACAGGAACTGATTCCCCCTGTTAAAGAGGTTGGGTTGTCTGCCCTTTCTGACACTGTCAAGAGCTGACACCAGAGCGTAACGACTGTCCCTCTGCTTTTTACTAGGATCGAAGGAGTGCTTCTTGGAGGATGGCTTGCTTCTCATGTTCTGAATGTGACAAACTGTCCTTTTGGAAAGGCTTCTAGAAGTACTTGTGCTGCCTCGGTGGCTTTGCTTAGCGCAGAGGAGCGGAAAGGGGACAAGGATCACATCCATCTTCTGAAGCAGTGTTGTGAAACATGCAGAGTGGAGATGTGCATGCTTGCATGTTAATTAGCCCAAATCTATTCATTATGCACAGGTTTTCCACACTATTAGTAAAAAGTGAGCTCTTACCCAATGATGAGAAAGCCTTGGTAGAGAGGAACTGAAGCAAAGTAAAATACTGATGAAAAAACAGCCTAAAAAAGAAAAGAAATAAGCTTTTCAGGCATTAGATACTGCAGTAAAAGTAACAGCTTAAAAATATACTCTGTCCAAACTGGAATGTACTTGCAATGGGTTCTCCAAATTCCTGAAATGAAGACAGAAGAATGTAACATCAACCCTTTTTATTCCTACGCAAATCTTGGATGAAAGCTATGTTTAATAGCAAACGCTGGAGAGCTGGACTTGGAAAACTTTTTGTAATGTAGTTCCACAGAAAAGAACATAAAGAGTTTCCTCCGAAGTCCACTGGTTTGATCAAAGCCATCCAGATGTTGTGAAGGACAGGTGCATGCTCATTTAAGCCCGGATGATGCCTTCACAATGTAAAGAGTTAACACTCACTAATACAAGCTCCAAAGAGTTCAAGATTAATTTTTCTTTTATTTGTCAGAAGTTATGGGTTTGTTTTCTGTTCCTGTTTTTAGCTGCAGAGCAAGCTAGACTGTCCCCTGAGTTTGAACCTTTTGTCTCTATGCATCCCTCTCCAACGTGTTTATTCTAAAAAAGGGAGAGGGCGGAACCAGCCTTCTCAAAAATATCAAGTATTTTACTTCAAAAAAACTTAGTATTTTTAAGGAATGTATCAGCACACTATGGCATGGAAATGCAGCTCCCAAAGAGTAACCTCTGTCCTTAACCGTAACTGTCACTGAAGTCACCACAGCTAAGAACGGAATTTGGCTAATCAACTCTTAAAAGCTCTTTCAACTCTCCCTGCCAACTGGCAATTGCATTTTTGTTACACTGAGGCTCAGCACACATGAACAATGTAAATTTTGTGAATACCAAATCCGTTTCTAAGGTTCCCTTTGAAATGGAGAGGAACAGGCCGCCTCCAGGTTGCTGCAGCAAGCTGCTGAGCACTTGGGAAGGTTAATATGTGCTTCAGCAGCCTTTGCAGCACGGCTCCTACAAATGCTCCACAGCATGCCAGACCGAGCTTTCAGTAACCTCACCAGGGCCTGAGCCAGGTCCTCTTCATTTGCTTAACTTTGGTCTCACTATTGGAAGGCCTTACTTAAAAACACACCTGAAAAGAAGTGCATTTACTCAGCAGAGACCTTACTTAAGAGCAGTGCCCTGCTTCAGATTTTCAGTATTTCCTAGCATTACTAAATGATAGCAAAGACATGCTGCATCACAGCAGTGTTTTCTAAGTAGACTATTGTTTGTCCAATTTTGGAGAAGCTGCTAATATTTGTCCAATACCAGGAACTTTCTTATGTGTTTTCATACCCAACTAACAACCTCAAGTTCCAACCCATGAAAATTTTGAGAAGAAGAAATAGTTGCATCCAAAATGAAATGCAGAACCTCTATTTTGTGATTTTGCTTTTTCACCTCTCTGCTGGAAAAGCCCTCATGACAGTCCATTTACCTGCATGGTACTGATGCACAAGCTCCTGTGGATTACAAACTGACTGAGGGCTGCAGACCGTTTGTAACTGTTCCTTCCATGCACCATTAGTAAACGACCCAGATGTTTAAACTGAGTGATAGAGAAATCGGCTGCAAGTGATGCCTGTTTTCCTTCCTGTGTACAACAGCAAGTAAAAGCATAGTGAGATCATTTCATCTTTGGAAACAAAGAAATATCGTATTATTATTTAGTTATCACTAACAGAATTTCCAAGAAAATTTGCAATACATTAGGTGGGGAAGAGTATTACCTCAGCACTTCTGCCTTCCACCGTGGCTTTTAAGCAAAGAGCAAAAATATGAGAATTCCCATTTGAACCCTGGCCTCCAATTCTAAGCAACCCTCTGGATTATGATTCACAACACGCATGTTAACGTGACACTCATATCAAGTCAGTTTTGAACACAAATTTTCAGTCTCAAAAGTTCACTCAATTTTAATGTTTTGGCTCACTGCAAGCAGAGTCTTTCCGCTGCCGCCAAATCCAGTCTTGTCGCTCCAAGCAGCTCCATATGCAGGAACCAGAGCTCTAACCCAGAGTTTGCTTTCTAAACTAATATAATCAGTTTTTAATTGTACATGTAGGGTGTATGTTATCAGAGTAATTACAACTCCAGCATTTGGAGCATTTATGCATGATTTAAAAACCCCAAAACTAACCATGATAACAAATTCAGGGAATCTGCCAAGAATCAAATAATGAACTTGAGCTCTGTTAAACAGTAGTCTTTTTTCCAGCAAATTATTTTTCATGATAAGGCTATTGGTCTGATGATTATTCTTGTAAAAGCTTCTCAATTTCTTGCACAAATTTCTGAGGATTCATGTAAGAGTTAGTTGCAAACTAGCTTCTGAATTGCCATAGGAAGTCTTATTAAACATGAGGTAATCCCACCTTTCCTTCAACTCCAACACCACAATCAGCCTCCTGAATCATGCTAACATCATTCCCTCCATCACCTGCAGGTCAGAGGACAAACGACATTGGTAGTTAAGCAACAGAGGCAACTTGCAACCCCACCAAAGGCATCTGCACCAGACTGTAATACTAGAAGAAACACTGAATCCTATCCACAAAAGCATAATTTGAAATAGAAATTGGGAATTTAAATTCTTTAAGAAGTTTTGTTACAGACACACAGGAATTCAAGGTCACTGACCACTTTATCTGACTTGCAGGCATACCATTATACCTACAATGCTGAAATAAAGCTCACAGGTTAACAATGGCACTTTATCTGATCGTGTTCAAGCTCTGTTTTGCAAAGATACCACCCCAAATATTTATGAGTAGTTTGTCACTGAAGTTTCCATATGCAAAATTTCATTTTATCAATCATCCCACAAAAACACTGTTCCCTAACTCAGCATTTCCAGGTGTTATGAGATGACACGGGACCATTCACTCGAAAGAAGAAAAAATAAAGACACCAACCTACATGGTCACTCCTCCCTAACTAGTCCCTTACCTACTGCACAGGTGAGTTTGCCGGTCCTTTCCTGGAGCAATCGCACGATCTGGGCCTTCTGCGTCGGAGCGCATCTGCAGCACACAACGGCAGGGCACTGGCAAGCCAGCTCCATGAACTCATACTCATAGTATTTCAGACACACCTAATTTACGGAGATCAGAAGTGTCACCGACGTTTGCGCTATGAAAGTTTCTTTTTAAAAAAAAAAAAATCCCAATTCAGCCACAGTGTTTTGGGGCTGCCCCTGAACAGCCTGAGGCATTTGGAGCCTACCTCCAGCGAGTCACCAGAAATAACAAGAGCACAGTCGTGTTTCCGACGGAAGGCGTTCAGCTCTAGATGGGCTTCTCCACGGTTAGTCACCTGGGGAAAAAGATGGCAACTGAGGAAGGGTTTGCTTCATTGGGGTGAAAAAACAAACAAGTCTCAGAGGGAGCAAAAGTAATACGGACAGGCAGCACACTGAGTTATCCAGAGCACACAGTCAGATAAACAAAAGCTCAGGGGATAGAAAGCTGGGTCAAAAGAATAAAAATATTCTGGGTCTACTACTGGAAAACAGTTGTGATCTCAGCACACCTCCTGTTCCAGAATCTGGGGTCCCGAACAAGCCTTGAGAGAGGGGAAGATGGGTGTTACTCACTAGTCTGAATATATGGATGTCCTGTGTCCGTGTCACCAAATGTGCGTTCTTGGCTGTACACGTGGCTGTCTCTAACTTATCCCCTGTCAGCATCCACACCTAAAATTCAAATATTTAATGTATTAAATACAAAACTTAACAACCATGTCTGCAGGACATCTAGAAGTACCACCTGCCAGTTCAGGCATATAAAAAGGACTGTTAGAATATATATACAAATTATTTTTCTAAAAAAGACCTATTTTAAAACATACAAGAAAATTCTCACAGATGAAAGAAAGCAAAACTTTTAAAGAGGCTGAAACACAAAAGAAGTTACAAACCATGTATAACATTTTTCCCACCTGCAATATTTCAAGATTCTGCTGATAAACCCACAAAATGCAAGCTAAAGAATGTGTACGCGTGTGTTAATGTGTCCCACCCCAGCTATTTCTCGTACGCTGAAATAAGCAGGCCTTGCTGCAGAAAGATCCCTTATGGCCCAGCCTGAAATGTGGATGATGCAACTGGGGTTAGCTCACTGCTGATGTGTGCGTCTGGAACAGACTAAGTTGGTTGGGTTTTTTTTTTTTCAGTTTTTTTTTTTTTTATACATACACTGCTCCTTTTATTTTGTGCTGGTGGGGGGGCGGGCATTAGAAAGCAATGTCAGCAGCAATACTCAGCAGCAATACCTTGTTATAATCTGGCAGGGAATTCCCTCAACAGTGTAAATATATCAGAGTTTGTTTTGTTTTTTCCACTGGTGTTTTTATTCTTTCAAGACACCGCCCAAGAATATTTAATGAAACTTTCAAAAAACAAAACCCAAAAAACACACAAAGACTCACTTATTTGTTTAATAATCTGAGGTTGGAAAAAGATTTGATCTTAACAAGATGGTCCCTGTAATGAATTACAAGACTGCCTTTGCTCTTGATTTACTTCTTGCATGCAATACCCTAATGAACATACCATTGCAAGGAGTGCTCAGAAGTGCTGCACTCGCTGTGCGACGACACACTCCATACCCCGACACCAACTCCAGCCAAGGTGAAGAGAAAAAAAATGAAACTGCTTTGGAATAACTGGCCTGGACTATGCTGCAGGGGGAGAAAGCCACAATGCTGCTAAGGAGCTTTGTCTGATTCTGCTCATGTCTCTTCTCTGCTGAAGTCCCTGTTGTTTACAGGGATGGCTCCAAACAGAAAGTACTTTTGAAAGCCTGTCCCAAGCCTTGAATTCCACTTCCTACCTAAATCCCAAACACACAGCCCTGGCTTTGGATTCACAGCATGGCTCAAGATGTTTGCTCACTTTGTTACTTAAAGCAGAGAAACCACAACCAGAACCTTTTACCTACTTTTCTTGCCCAAATCTGAATGTTTAGTCCATTGGTTTTTTTTCCTTTTGCAAGTCTGGGATCTGACTGACAAGTTTTCAGGAGAGAAACTAAGCAGGCATCACGCCGCTTCCCTCACCGCTGAGCACAGCTCGGGCCGTAGGTGTCTGTGCCTCAGATGCTGGAGCCCAGAAAGCTGGAAAAAAAATGTCCAGTCCCTGATTCTCTTGGCTCAGACCCCCTCTAGTGGCTACTGAAAACATGTATATTCACAGCCCAGTGCTTCAGCCCCAGCACGAGAGTTTGTGCACCAGAGACCAAACACATCCAAACCAGTCTTGTTTCACTATCCCAGTGATCAGAAACAATTGCCCCAAAGTCTCCTGTAGCTACTCTCCTGCCTACACACTCGGTTTCTCTGCAGAAGGAACCAGAGCATGTTAGGGGAAGAAAAGCACAAAAGGTGACATGCTTTCACGTATTTAGTTAACATTTACTACTTCCAGCATGTTCTGTTCCCAAAGTGATGTTTAAAATGCATCGGCCAGTCCACTGTTCCCACTCGCAAAGGGCACCTGGTGAAACATTTACCTTGACAGGGACCCAAACTGTCTTAATTTACTGTCTGTAGGACAATGCCACATACTCCAGAGGATCTACGTGCTCCTGCTAGAAGTAACATTAGGTTAGGCAGACCTTAATGCCAGCATTTCTCAGCGTCTCCAGAGTGGGTCTGACATCCGTCTGCAGCTGATCCTCCACGCCCGTGAGACACAGCAGCTCCATCTCCATTTCCAGGCTCTCAATGACTGTGGCTACCTTCAGGGAGCGGTCGTGCACGCTTAGCTTTGCCTGGACGTAGCGTGCCTGAGGACAGAGCAGACACAGCCACAGACACTCACACAGCCAGTCTGCGTTTTTGTGGAATAGAGGGTTAATCAGCATGAGGGTTAACCAGTTAACCTCCCTCTGTTAACTGTCATTCAGGGATGCCACCTGTAATGGCTTGTGAACACAAGGTGCATGTTATAGAATAAGGCAGAAAATATTTCAGGAAGTTTTTGTCATTTTGTTCCTGCCCTGTGCCAGCCAGGCAGCACCATGCACAGTGTGTCCTTGTGCACACAAATGCACAGCAGCTGCTGAAGTGACACCTGCAGAAAGCCTGGAAGCGAATCCCTTGCACCACAGACCTAACCATGGCTTCTGCGATGAACAAACGAGGGCAAGAGCGAATCCTAAACATTTCCACCGTCTCACCTCTGCATTTAACTGAACAGTTCTCCTTCACGTTTTGCCTGCCTGGGGTAAGAAAATTAGTGCTGTGTGTAGAGACCCATCTAACAAACCCCATGCATGAAGCCTATGTTTCCATGAAGCCTGGCTGGGTTATGTTCTGGTGTTTGTTGTTTCCCTGGATGTCGGAATGCAACAATGAAAATTAAAAGCCAACATTTCCCCACACAAACACAACTCGTCTAACAAATGATGAATATTTGCAGAATTTATAACCATAAAAGATTGTAAGGCAGGATTCAGGAACTGTTTTGGAGGGTCCTGGCTGGGATCCAGTTCCATACACATCACTTAAAAAGCCACTTTGATTAAAAGAACTGCAAGACATTGAAGAATGACAATTCCAGCAGAAGGAGTAGGGAGATGAGAGGCGGCATTACCACAAGAGGTCTGTTAGAATCACTTCAGTGATGGTTTGTTTAAAAACAAAGAAAAAAAAAAAATAAAAACTTACTTCAAAGTCTTGATACTGCTCTTCTGTCAGAGACTTCTTGGCTACGACAAGAACCCTCAGGCCTTCCCGAGCCATGTTACCACACTGAAAAGAAGTATCACGTTGTAAACCATAAACTGCATCTCAAGTAAGATGATTTATGCACAGCATTGCAGAGATGGCAATGTAAGATAGCAGGTTAAGAAAATAACCGTCCCATTTGAGCAACCCCAGTAAGTCTATAACATCTGATAAAGTGCATGATAAACCCGAGAGGAAAAAAAGGAGATCTGCAATGGTTTGTAATCTATCCCAGTGATCAGAAACAAAAATGTCCTCTCTGCTATACCAGTGTGGCAAAACCAACCCCATTGATTTCATTTTTTCTGTCTCTAAGTAAAAGGACACAAGCCTTTGATTTACAGACTTTACACCTTTAGCCATAAACTCTTTAAAATAAGACCAAGGTATTATTATTTCTTTGAACACCAGGGTTTGGGGGTGGGGAGAATCAGTAATGAAGCCCCTGCTATGAACTCTGTGTCAACATTACTACTAACCTGACAAACATATCCCAGTACAAAGCTGCCAAATGTAGTTTTGAAATTAGACCTTTCAGTCTAAAATAAATCCAAACACAGGATCAAGCCGAGGACAAATTTGGTGATCTTGAGTGGCAATCAGTTTTGACCAAAATCCATTTTATCTACAGGACTTATTCTGCACTAAATATGTTAAACTTGCCACCTAACTTCCTTGTTACTGCATATATATTTGACTGAAGACTAATCCAATGAATTGCCAAGATCAGTGACCTTCTGGCTCTCAGATGTTTTAGCAGTTATGTCCACTCTGCCACATTGACAAGCTTTATCACGCATTGCCCTGGAAGGAGAAAAGCACTCGCATGAGAAACCCTCCGTACGTAGGAGAGACGGCCCCATACCTCCTCTTCCAGCCAGTCGTTGTACTGCACGATCCCAGCCATCACCACATCAGCCCCCTTCATGTAGAAGGTGATCTCTCCTGTTGATTCATCCTGCAAATAAGAAACAGAAGAGTCTAAGTTGGGCCAATATCAGCATATTTGGAGTGGCCTCAACAAGCTAAGTGATGAGTTTTCTGAACATCAGTCTCAAAAATGTCTGCACTGTGTCAGGCTAAAAGTCCATCTGGCTCAGCATCTTGTCTCAGGGCCAAAAGGAGATACCTATTCAATTGCAACTTGGTTACGCGCAGCAGATTTAGACAGATCAGCTTTTTAATCAGCAACTTGTGATTTCCATGCAGACACCTCTCAATTCTGACTGCATGTGCCTTTGGAATAACTTCTAGCCCCCACCCTGAAAATTTATTTCATACTTACCTGAAACAATAAAGCGGACGCACAAAGCTTCACAGAGTAAAAATTAGTAACTCTAATTTACCCCCTCTGTTACATTATATGGCATAAGCATAATTAAAATCAGCAACTTGTGATTTCCATGCAGACACCTCTCAATTCTGACTGCATGTGCCTTTGGAATAACTTCTAGCCCCCACCCTGAAAATTTATTTCATACTTACCTGAAACAATAAAGCGGACGCACAAAGCTTCACAGAGTAAAAATTAGTAACTCTAATTTACCCCCTCTGTTACATTATATGGCATAAGCATAATTAAAGTTTATGCTTGCCGCAGAAAGGTTAGATTGCTGTCTGCCTTATCTGATCCAAGTAATTTGTAGGCTGCAAGCAAAGCATATTTACATTACCACAAATTAAAAAATCCCTTCTAACCAGGCAGATACCTAAGGAGGTCACAGCTATTAGTATTACAAGCTAATGGAAACTCTGGCAATTTCCTCAAAGGAGACAAAACAATGAGTAAGGAACAAACTGCTCTGTAAACCAAGATAGCCACCAGGAATAGGAAGAAAATAAACTTAACACGCAAAACCAAAAAGCCCAGGAAGGTCTGGAAATAGACAGCTGTGGATGAAGGGGGAAAAGTACTTTAGGAAAAAAAGAAATCAAAGAAAATCACAGTGGACACTTTTTCATTCTCACACTATTTAACATACGTGTCAGTCTGTCCCACCATTACAGAAACTAGTGGTGAAGGTTCTTACACATTAAGAGTTTGAGTCAGTAGGTAAAAGCCTAATGTCCTGTGGCACTGGCAAAACAGAGTTTACATCCACAGCAAAAAAAAAAAAAAAAAAAAAAAAGCAGCACCTGATGTGGATACTGAAAACACAAAGAAGAGAAGTGTCTTTGCTAAGGAAATTAAGAAGCAGCCAAGGATAAAGAAGCTCCTTTACTAAGCATTTTTGCCAAACTCAGAGATACTCACAAAGAAGATTCTTATAATTAAGCTTAAGCATGGTTTTCAATGTCCTGAAACATCCAGCCTTCATATATCGATACCCACACATCCCACATATCCAAAGCAAAATGCGTGTCACTCTACCAAAACAACTAGAATCTGCTTAAATAAAACACAACGCTTTGGCAGTAGCCAAAGGTAAAGGTTTATCTATTAAATTATTTGATTAAAAAGTGTCTAATAACATCTCTGTAGGAAACTGAATAAAGACTCCACTTCCCGTGCTGCAGAACTGGCTTAAGATAGTTTAGATTTTTTGTCCAATATAAATATTGTATCAGCTATCTCCTTGCATTAGTCATTTCCTCTCACTGAGTTCAATAGGAGGTTAGTGCGTTCTCATATTATGGTAAGATCACACTATAAATCTACACAGAGATTTGCCAGTTATATTGTTTTGGAGAGACATCTTTTTCCACCGTGGTCTGACTCTGGCCACGGTTCAAAGGCTTCTTTCAGTTCCAGATATGACAATAGCACTATCTTTGCTTTGCAACAAAGATCATTCCACATGGGTAAGGGGAAAAATAATGCAGAGAAAAAGAAGAATGGAAAATATTGTGGTCAAACAAACAGGCCTTCTTTCAAGAAGATAAGTCAGTAAACAGTACGGTGAAGAGTGGCTGCTTTGGTAGAACAAGACTTCTTAGAACTGAAATAATCAGCTACAGAAATGACAGTTGATCACAAGTAAACAAGCAGATACTGCAAAAATATCCCAAACGAGACAATATCTGCTAATTGTTTTCAGTATTAACTACTACTTTATTTACTACAAGTTACGTGTTGAAGGAGATCTTTTTATAGGAGCCAGAGTGGACGGTACCACCAAGGGAGACAGGCACCTCTGCCAAGGATTTCAGTAACAGCATTACTGGGCTGGATGCATGAATCACTTTCTGAAACTCTATACCCAGATTGTACAGGAAGCCTGGCAAGACAATCGCAATGGCTCCTGCTAGTCGAAAAAATTGCAGTTTATAAGAATGGGCAATATCTGTATAGTTGAGCAGAAAATACTACCGTTTGAATTCTATTCACTACAATCCTGAGTGGAGTTTCATTCTGCGGCTTCTCCCTCCCCTCCCCAGCTGCTCACTGCATCTGTTGTCTTCTGGATACTTCACGCTACTTTCTCTCCCCTTATTCCTGTTTTTTAAGCAAGCAGCACAGTTTTAGAAGATATGCTGAAGCTGAAGAGGTAAACACCTTGCAAGTTGTGGATCAAACCAAGTGGAGTGCCTAGACATGCATACATGTATGTTTAATAAAAGAAAATTTTACTTGACAACTACCTATTTATAAACTCTTCTTTTTTCTTTTTGTCTTTTTAAATTTTTTTTTTTTAAAATGAAGATGAAAACCCTGCTTGAAGATATTATTTTGGAGTATACAGGAACGTGGCAAAGTAATACCTAGGCAGCCAGCATCTGCTACTCAAAACCTATTTCTGCACAGGGTATACAGGGAGCTGATTTTAGTGGCTTAGTAGCAGCTCAATAGCTGCAAAACAAAGACACTCAATTAACAAGCATAACAGAGGGGGGCCAATGCTTCTATTAACAGTATTTACAGTCAGGATCTGGGCCTGATCTTGCTCCCACTGACCACAAGTGGGAGTTTTGCTGGTTTTGGCAGCAGTAATATTCTAAATACAGAAATGCAAAATAGAAACCTTTTTCTTCCTAAAGGGGGAGAACGTAGATCACAGATAATTTAAAAGGAATAAGCCTCAAATCAAAGAAGAAAAAAAAAAGAGGACTCCTTTCCACTTAGATGAGAAAATTTAAGGGCATCCACTTCTCTGCTGAGCATACAAACACAATTTAATGAAGCATACCCTGGCTTCGATGGTTAGCCCACTTCCTGCACCTTGGATAAAACAGCACCTCATCAAAAGTTTGCACTTACAATAAGCAATGCGGAGGGAGGTTGTTTAGTCCTCCCTCTTTTATTGCTAATATTTTTATACTAGGTCTTGAAAAGGTTGCCTGAAGTCTCCACATCATTTTCACTATAAAAATAATCTGAAGAATTTACACTTGCTGTATTTAAATGGATATGCACTACACTTGTTGCAGCTATCCCACAGAGCACGAGACATTCGTGGGAACACTGATGACTGTGTACATTCAAACACATTCAGTCGTATCTCTAGATTCACAGATTGAAATACACTGATTACTTTGTACAAGCTCAGCCTATCAGCCCACTTCAACTAACATTCCTGCCCTTGGGCATGTTTTAATATTCCAAAGCCTGCAATAACTTGAAATACAAATTTGTTCCCCCTACACCATACTGTGGTGTGAGATCCAGAACTTAAAAGCAGTTCCTTGAGCAACAGGAGATCCAGGTCCAAAATACTAGGTAGGATAACAAAAATACAGCCATTTGCATGAGCTTTAGTGATTTTCAGTCTGCACTAAACACAGCTTGTCCTTCATGGGTTTGCAAAAAGTTCCATCTTTATCACCAAATCTCTTGGTAACAGGAATACTGAAGTGCTCCATAATATTTGTTGTGGAATACAACCACTGCGTTGCTCCATTTTACCTCATCCCGTCACGGTGCCATTTCTGACTGGGGCTGTGCTCTCCCCAGGGGTCCAGAGAAGTTGAGATTTGTGAAGCTACCAAACATCAGCCATTAAAGCAGACCAAATTAATCTGCTGTCGATGAGGCCCACATGTGCAACACTGATCCTGACTGTTTCTAACTAAAACCAAAGGCTACTCCTCCTACTGTTGTAACTTGAAATACATGAGGCAGAAGTTATTTTTACACCCTATTTCCAGATACCCCAAAGTAAACATGCAGCAACCCAGTTTTATCACAAAGAAAATGGAGGAGGGAAACAAACAGAAAAAACAAGAAAACAGAAAAACCCAGAAAAAAGAGAAAACCCAGAAAAAAGAGGAAAAGAGGAAAAGAGGAAAAGAGGAAAAGAGGAAAAGAGGAAAAGAGGAAAAGAGGAAAAGAGGAGAAAGAAAGAAAGAAAGAACGAACCACCGATTTTACCTATTCTCCCCACCCTAAATAACAAAGCTGAAGATCCCATGAAATGATACAACAAATCATATATTGCCCTGGATTATAGGTTTCATATTCATGTTTTAGATTCCTGGTACCTATTATCTGTCTGTACTCTCAGTAAAAAATATCAAGGATGTTTTAATTATCTCCAAAAGAAATATTCAAACTGCTTCACCTTGTTTGCTTTGCAGGCAAATGGTTTGCAGCCTTACCATAGCTGGCTTTGTTTATCTTACTAACATTGATTCTCTAGCACTATCTTGAAAACTAATGATGATAATGGTCACAACCCACCTCAACTGTTTTTAAAACACCCACACTTTCTTCTTCTTCTTTCTTTTTAAGGTAATTTTTTTCTGAGAGTCTGATCTTATATTGTATTTGTATATAAAACCACAAAGTTATGTGTACAATTTCAGCTGGGCACGTACTTAGCGTGCGCAGTGTGTGCTGCTGCTGATAAAGGTATTTGCACAAAATGCACCCTTTTACCTTAAATCAGCTATTTTCAAACCCTACTCATGATACTGTGTTCTCAGCATGGCTGCAGGCTCTGTTAAACTCAAAAAAATTTCCACATTTCCCTGCAGCTATAAGTGCCTCCCCCTGCTGTGTTGTACTTCTGCAGGGTCTAACAGGAGTTTCGATGCCTGGAGAGATCTGGGGAGCACTTCCAACAATATCCTAGAGTTAGTTGTGGCATCGGTCCAGGATCTCCTCCCTCTTTCCCACTTGCTGCCATCTCCATCACCTCTGGTTGTACCACCACAACTGCTTTGGAGTCACGGTGTAAGCTGGACCCGTGAACCTGCTCGGGGTCCTGCTCCTAGCTGACCCCAAGGCGGGAAACCACTTGTGACCTGAGTCGACTCATGACCCCAGTCCACTGTATGTGCTCTGCCAGCATGACCGCGGCATGGACACGACAGGAAGGGCAAGAGCTTTTGGACAGATGAAAAGACAACTCCAGGGACACAGCGTGAGGCTTCAAAGTCAGCTCAAGCTTCCCTGAGACGCTGCTGGTGCCTACTCCCCTGGTGAGAGCAGTCCTGCCCCTACCAGGCTCCTCTTCCTCCTCGCTGTGTCAGCCACTGTGGAAGGGGACACAGAATTCGGGTCCCAGGAGACAGGGTAACTGTGACTATTTCTTTTGCTGGCAGTGCTGGTTTCAAGCTTTCCTGAAACAACAGCCTTACCTGAGAGGTAGCATGGCATCTCTGCTGCTTATCAAAGCTGTTGAGCCTTGGTTCAGCACACAGACAGCCAAAACATTCAGATTTTAGCTCTTCTGCCCCATCAGTCCCTCCCATGTCTCCTTGCACTTGTAGCAAAAATCCTCTCTCAACATTTTCCAGCATCCCCAGGGCCCTCGGTTTCGCAGCTGGAAGGAGATGCTCAAGCTCTCTCTTCCTTCCCAGCACCATCCTGGAGGCTCCACTGCACTGCCAAAGACATGCTTTCACAGTTGGTGGCAGCACCCCTCCCCAGCCTGACATTGTCCCCAGCAGCACCCTACAGGAACCGATGTGTGCAGACAGAGGAGCTGTACAGTTGAGACCCACCCCAGAGTACATGATGAATTAAAAATGTGAGCGGGAAGGAGCAGCTGGAGGATGCTGGAAGCTTAGGCTCCTTGTTATTTTGAACAAGGGACCAAAGATAAATAAACTAAAGATGTCTCAGGACACTACAGCACTTATTGCCAAATATGGCCAAGGAAAAGCATGTATCACTAAACAAACCCAGCAATCAGATGCTATTAGCTCAAAACAGAGAACAGCTCATAGCCTGAGGCAGGAGAGACTGCAAAACTCTGCCAGGAAGAACAGCACAGCTGAGAGCAAATGTTTTACATGTTTCACGTTGCGTTAGCAGGAGAGTCACAAAGACATGAGAGCTTACTCAAAGCTACTTACCCGAACAATTATCCCCATGCGCTTGCTCTCGTAAGTGAAGGGGAAGATCTGGAGGATGGTGAAGTTCAGGATGTGGCCACCCGGTGTCCTCAGCTGCACGGAGGACTGGTCTCTGCCCACCAGCGTTAAACCCACGCTCTCGGTCCACTGTACCAGGGCCACCTGAGAGGAGAAGGCCATGGTGAGGGTGGCCAGCCCACACCACACCTCCCCTGAGGGGACAGTGGGTAGGGGCTGCAAAGAAGTTCATTACTGATCAATGGTGCTATAGAGTGGATCCGTTCATATACACAGGTGCTCCTGTATGGCTCTTTCTAGTGGGCTTTTCCTGAAGTTAGGAGCTTACTAACCGTATTTTCGGGGTTTGGGCAGCCCAGCTCCTGTCTGATTCAGCTGCCAGGCTGTCCTAGACTCTCAGCAGGAGGTGGTCAGCTCCCTGCCTTCGACTGCCACATCCTGAAGGACAACCTTTCCACAAGGGCAGGCACAGGTACCCTCCACCCAGGCCTGGGGTGCCCAAACCTCTGCTTGGGCACATCAGGTAAATCTCTTGACAAACACTTACTTTTTCAATGTGCTATTTCCCAGCTTGCTGTTTATGAAATCAAGAATTCAAAACGATGCATTCATCCTGGATTTACAGTATCAAAGCCCAAAACAGTAATGCAAAGCACATTAAAAATTCATATGAAAACAGCAAACAAACAAAATGAGCTCTGTGTTATACTCTCTCTGTTTGGTAGTAACAATTCATCCACAACTTTCAACCTCTGTACTGATCAGTAAGACAGCTGAAGGCTGGCTCACAGACACTTCTTAGCAGAGAACCTCTTCTCCCCAAATATTAAAAAAAACAAAACAAAAAACCCCAAAACAAACCCCAGATTTTTTAAGGCACACACCAGAACTCATTTAATTGAACTTATGTGGGTATCATTCTGATTGCAGCTTCTAATATTTAAGGACCTACAACACTGAGTTCTTTACAAGCTTTCACCAGATTACAACCAGAGTCATGACACAAAACCAAAGCCTTTATTTTGCTTCCCTGACGATCCCCCCAGAATCCCCACCTCAGCTGACACATCCATCTAAGACTGAGCCTGCTGAGATACAGGGGTTTAACTCTAGAAGCTGTCTTGGCAGTAACGGATGGGAGCAGCAGCTGACATGAGCCCATACATCACTGGCCTCCAGAAAGGATCAAGGGATACTTTCTCCAAACAGACACGAAATACTGGAAGTATTTTGCAGTGACATTTTAAAAGACATGACAGTGCTGGGCACATGGTTACTGCTGACTTGAAGGTTAATTATCCCTTGTGCCTTTCACGTTCTGCCTTTACTGCCTCAAGTGACCACAAATACCTGAGACAAAAATAGAATTTATTTTGGGAAATTACATACACGAGATACAGATAAAAATGGAATCTATAAATACTTGCATTGAGGGTTTTTTTTTTACTAGATGAATTAATACAATTAGATCTAATTGGAGAATCCTTTGTGAACTCAGCCCCCTTTCATCCACAATTAGGCTTAAAAGACAACCTAAAATAAACTTTTCCTTTCAGAAAGTAGTCTTGAATCACCAGATAAAAAAAAAAAAATTAGTTGAGTTGGCTTTGCCTTGAAAGACGTTTAAACCAATTTGAATCAATATTTGTTTTAATATTAGCAAGTTTTTGCAGCCTTATTCACAAAGACTACAACAAACCAAAGGCTCTTTCAAGCTTATCTTTTTCAAAAGTTTCTTCAAGCCATCCTTAGTGCATTGAAGTGTGCAGCTAGATAATCCTCCTAACAGTCTCCCAGAGCAGAGATGGAGCTTGGGTTTCTAACGCTCTGGTTAATAAATAATTACCGAGAATTTTTCACAGCATGATGTTACGTGATGTTCAGTGTGCACAGCCCTGGCTGTTAATTTGCCCATGTTGGTAAGCTGCAAATGTCTGGAGATACAAATCTCTCCTCCCAGCTCAGCCCGTTACAGCATGTCGTTTGCTACTTTCTTTCACAGACACCTCCTCCCTCCCTCCCTGCCAGTGTCTCATTTAAATCCTATGTCAGGAAGCATTTCAACCTCCCAAAAGAAAAGCCTTGCGCAGAGGAACAAATGGATGAGCAGCACGTCAGAGGTGCTACGTCATGCACGTGACACGCTTCAAATTAACTGCATTGCATCGCGCAATGCCAGTCATTTCAGTCGGCCCTGAGACCACAAAAAGGTACATCAATGGAAGGGGAAGAATAATGAAAGAAATCCCCCTTTTTCATGCTGCTCCCAAGCAGACGTGGGTCCTGTCAGCCCTTAATGGCCCTCCAGGTGAACCGCATTCAGCACCGGAGGGGAAGTGGGGCTGACCCCTTTGAACATGCCACTTCCCAGCCTCTATGGTACTTAATGAATAATTACTGAGAGAGAAAGTGACATAATTTTGAAGTGTTCCTATCAGATGTACTAAAAGCACTGAAATTACCGTCCCCACTCAACAGGCAACACAATGGGCCTGGCCTCTGGGAAGTGCCGCGGCACCAGCGGACAACACTGAGGGCAACAAAAGCGCTGATGGCTCTTCTGGCAGGGTCTGGACAGTGAGCACGTCCCCAGCTCGGTGCGAGACAGAAGAGGTTTACTCTGTGCCGTGCAAACAGATAACCAGAGGTGCTCTCAGTCACAGCGAAAAGATGAGAAACATTCAAGATGCAAAAATATGTTTACAGCTTAAACTGAGGAGATTTAAAAGCAGAAAACACCTTCAAGAGAGCCCATGCTTACTGATTAGGGGAAATCAATAAAGTCCCTGACCACACTCCAGGAGTTTGCAGCTCTATCCAGGCCAACTCAGATACAGATCTCAGCATTACAAAGCAGAGCAGCTACAGCAGCTTGGCACACTATCCCCCAAACTTTGCTCTTTCCGACAATTAAATTACCCAAGCCACCACTGAAGTGGGTATCGACTAATAAATTTCATTCTAAAGAGACAAATTGATCCTTCTGTGCCATGAGTTGCTCTACAAACGTCCCATTTAGGGTTGCCTAGCAGACAGACAACAGGCAGAAACCAATTGATCGGTGCACCCTTTCATGTCCTGGCAGCTGTGGCGGGTTGTCGGGGTTAAAAACTGTTTGCCCAGGAATCCCAGGCATTCTTATCTCTGATCAGATTATATCTATTTCATTTCCCCTGTTAGTTACTGTATGGCTACAACTGACACGCTTGCAGAGCCCCAAGGCTGTAACCGATATCTGAATAAAGATACTTCAAGACTTCTAAATGGCAGCGTGCACAGGAAACAAATTTAGGAAATCCTGCTTTCTGTTACAGGAAATGAATCCTATGCCAACTGGTAGAAATTACTCTTGCTGTTAAAGTAAAGAGAATACAAGTTTTTGTACTCATTTCATAAACTGACCTTCCCTGCCATCGCAATATTTTATTGATATAGAATTTCAAAGGGTGGCTTTAACAGGAGTCCAAAGCCATTCCCCCACAGGGAATGTTATTTAACAGCATCGCTCTCTTCTCAAGGACTCCACTTGTGCTGATCCTGCGTTTTGTACCATCTAGTATGACATACACAGAGCACGTCTAAACAGTATTTGTATATCTAAGACCTACAGACAAGATTTCCTCAGTGCAGCAAAGCATATCTGATTTCTAAACCTGCTGTAATTCTCTACTTAAGACACCACAAGAAAGGAAAAAAGAATTTAAACAATAATCTTGGAAGGATTAGTTATCATGCTATAGTAAAACAAATAAACAATAATCCCTTGGGTATTTGAGACAAATTGCTGCATAAATATTTTAAAGACAGAACTGTATAAAGTGAAAAAGGAAAAGAAAAATCACTGACTTCACTGTATACCACCAGTATATATGTAAATAAACAAAGGGTCTGTGCAAAAACAGCCAGTAAATGCTTTAGGAAAAAAAACCTTAAATGCAGATCACAAAAATTACCATCTGGAAATCATTCAGAACTTGTTTCAATCCAAAGGCAGTTGATTTCTGTAAGCTGTCTTTACATGGGACAGCAACACATTAGAGGAGAAAAGCAGGTAAGCAAAACACCGACCTAGATTATGTGGTGGGAGAGGACACACACACACACACACACACACACATATGCACACTGCTCACCAGCTCCAAAAACAGCAAGGAGTAAGCGCTTGTTGTCACTGTAGGCACATCAATGGAGGAGGGGGAAAAAAAGCAAAGATGCAGCTTTTGTATAATACAGACGAGAACACATTATATGAAATGAATTAATTGCCCACTTGGGAAGAAAAACACTGTAGGGAATATTTTGAATGTACACGAAATGTGGAAACTAACTCTGTGTGCCAGTGCTTCATTAATACATGCAACAATTTCCAAATCTTCACATAGCCAGGCTAACGAATAAATTTATTTCTATGCAAACAATTTCTCACCTCTAACAATGAGGAAAGCCAGCTTCTCTTTTGATGTCAAAGGTGAAAAGGTTATTATCAGAGGCAAATCTGTTTTATTTAGGGCAATAAATGGAAGAACCTTTCGAAGGGTCAAATGGGCGATATGATCTCATACCATCAGTAGGATTCTTATGGGAAGTTTCAAACATCAGTCTCTTTCAATGGCATAGAGCAAGTGTAATTGTACAAATTAATAGAAAACAAATTGTTTTACCTTGGTTGCACTAAAGAAGATGTATCCAAGAAGCATAACCAATACATGAAACCGTATCTTATTCCTCCTGTCTTCACCACAGAACTTGACACACTCAGGTGTTCAGTAAAAGTCTCCAGCGAGTCTCTGGAGAGCTGCAAAGTTTCTCTCTACTGTACCACCCTGCGTAGCCCTGGCTGGACTGGGTGCCAGCAGAGAACTGGCAGGGCACGGCTTTGCTCAGAGACAAACTCTTGTGCACTTCAGTTACTCTGCAGAATTAATTCGGGCTCTGGGTCTGTCAAGTCTGCATCTGAAGGGATGTGTCCTGGGTTAGCAGTGCTACCCAGCATGATGTACAACTTTTCATTTGGTCTGGGAGTTCGAACACTTTGCGGATCAGGGACAAGCTGACTTGTGGGAGTGCTCTAACCCCCTCCCACAAGTTGTCCTTCCCCCCCCAAACAGGACAAGATTGCCTATAATTTACCAAATATAGTCAAAGGGACTCATGGTGTTGAACTGAAAATATACCCTGGACAAAAGGTGCAGAAACATGAGCAAAACTCTGCAATGCAGAGGCTCATACAACAGCCAGATACTAGTCACCATGTAGCTCTGTAGCTTCAGGCAGAGAGGCAGATTTGGCTGAAGTATATCAGCTGAGAGGGCACTTATGGTCTATTCACGGGTTATCAGTGCAAAAAATGCATTAAAATATTTTCCCCTTCACTAGATTGGAGTACTTCCACCAAATTTTTTTTTTTCTAGCAACAAGCAAGGTCGTATGTATATTTTTATACACCCAAACGGATACTGACCTCATCAGGACTGGAGGCCTGGTACACCCTGCAGGAGTCTTCATAGTGTCTCTCGGCTTCAGCCTGGTCCGTCACCCCGTTGGACTCGTACACTGGTGTCACGTTGTGGCACAGCGCGATTGCCTTCACCGCCTCGTGCACTCGGCTGCTCATGGTTTTACGCACCTTGGTAGCTAAGGTAAGGCCCTTCACAGCAGGTGGGTCCTGAGATTGCTTATAAAAAAGGAAAGCAGAATACAGTCTTACTGCAGAAGAAAAAAAATTTAAATTAAGTTTTTAATTCAGTAAAGACCATATATGTAGCAGCTGTGCAGACTCTTATGCCCCCAGGAATGAGACACGCTCTTCATACACCTTAACTCAGACCATCACTGGGAACACACCCCAGCGTAATGCAACTTCTTTATCATTGTTACTGGCAGCATAAAGTGCCCCAAAAGATTTACCTAAGTTTTTGGAACAGTACACTGAGAAAAAGACCCTTTTATTGCAGATCCACCAAACACTGACTGGTGAAAGACCAAAGTCAGAAGACTCAGTGCAACCACTTTTTGCTCCACAAAAGACCAGTGGCTCTGAAAATTTAGTGTCAATTGGGTTTCATGTGCAACAGAATATAATTGCTGAAAACAGAAAACAGATGACTCGTATGGACCTAGAAAATCTTAATTACATTCATTTAATTTTTAATACTATTTTTAGTATCAGAATGGGAGTCTTCAGATAATTGCACAATTACTAAATTATCCTGGTTGAAGAAGGGACACACAGTGATCTAGTTTCCTGCTCTGTTAACCTTTAGTGTCAAGAGGACAAAAGTTTCACTTCCAGGTCAAAGGCCACAACATGGTAAAAATAAGAGCAAAGAATAAGAACTACAGTTCAAAATGAATCATTGCCAGCAAATGCTTCTCATTATAAGGAATCTCACTTGGTAATGATAAACGTTTTATGAGACGTATCCTTTACCAGTGTAATTCCACATGCTATTTTCCACACTCTAGTGATTAGGACACATAAGATCTTCGAACTTAATACTGCTGCTCATCAGCACTGTTGCAACAGGCTTTAATCAAATCAAACAACAGCAAACCCTCAGCTGAGATGCATTTAGATTGACATATAGCACTAGTCAAATACTGAACTAGTCACAGTCACCAAAGGGTTCTTGACAAATATTGAATACTTTGGCAAATAATTAACCAGTAGTCAAGTTTTCTCTGGAGATTGTGTATAAAATGAGGGCTAATAGATCTGAAGTCTGTTTTTTTGGTTTTGGTTCATTGTTTTTTTTTTTAAAGTACAGTTCAGTCGTTTAAGGGTCTCAACACCAAGAGAAGAACCAGATGCTAAGAAGCTGTGAAAGCAGAAGAGGGAAGGGAAAAAAAAAAACCTGAGACACATGCCAGTGAAAAAGATAATTACTCAAAATACCAGGTATTTATCAACTATCATACGCTTAGTTAAAAGCACATTGTAGCCTGACAGTCTGCCTAGGGAAAAGCTATGCTACCAAACAGATCACTGAGGTCAAGGAAACCTGCTGTGCATCTTTACCACCATGAACAAAACCCCAAAATAAAAATCCTATTTACAGTAAGTACATAGTGCCTTTTTCCAGGCAAGAATGCTGGCTTCGTGTTTCACTTTGTGGGGGGTATAGAAAGTGCATTTCAGTCTAAAAATCTTTCAAGCAAAGCAAAAACAATGTGACATGAAAAACCCAGTTTACTGCATTGGGTGTGCATGCCCAAGGAAAAGCACAGGCACTTTGAAAACGACTTCTGTGGTTTCTGTAGGAATGAAGCAATTCCACAACTATTGAGAAATGAAAATGCTTGACATATGACACTGGAATAGGAACTCATCACTAACATCTGCAGATTGTGTCTGTGGAATCACATTTTGCAAAAGAAAAAATGTAATTGTCAGTAAATCACAAAAAACTTCTAGCTGCAGCTGAAAGAATGGTTATTAACAGAAAATGAAAAATAATGCTTCCATGATTACCTAATTAGTGACAATTCTTAAGTCTTTTATAAGTACCAGTGGCTGGAACATCAGCCACTGATAGCTGTTGGTTTTTTGGGGTTTTTTGTTTGTTTTTGTTTTTTTTTTTTTTAAAGGTAGTAATATTCTTAAGTAAAACCTCATCCCTTGTTTTAAGAAGAAAGTGCATGTATCTATATGAAGTTTCAATTGATAAGCATCTTGTCTGCTAAGGAATATAGTTTGCTGACCCAGACAAGTCACATGGCATTACCTGGTTATCATACAAAACTGAAATAAAAGTCCAAGAATAGAGATGAATGCTTTTTAGATGCTGGCTCACCCAGTGATACTGAAAGAGGAATGCAAGGGAGAGACTTCACAAAACAGTATTTTCCTGTTCTATACTTCACATGTTAAGTTTGCTGCCTTCTTTAGCTGTAGATATTTCTCAAAGCAGATGTCAGTTATGCACCATATAAAATCATTGGTGCATTAGTGAAAGTATCCCACTTTTACCATTTTCTTTTTTAGCCATCAGGCCCAAAACAGCGATACTGGCACACTGTTCTCTGTGTACTAAGTACCTATGGTTCCCCTTCCTTTATTATTGCCCCAGTACACAGCATTTCAAACAGCAACTTAATCCATTAAATATTACCCAGAGCCAATTTTTCAATGAAGAAAATGCCGTGGTTGCTATAAGTGGTGAATATCTAAATAAAAGTATGCTATTTTACAATCAGACCTTGTTAGCAAGACACAGGCACATACACTCACATACACTTACAGATCCATACACGTGCTGTGGCAGTTAAAGACTGGTGGATGTGAAACAATCTATGAATGTAATAAACAATCAGGATAATATTTATGTATTAAGCATCCAATGACCTTCAAACTTTTCCAAAAAAGTAATAGTTAATAGGCAGATCCCTGCCATATTGATTTACCATTAGCCCAGTGATCCAGAAAACTGTTTTGTGAACAAAGAGTTAAGTAATGCAATTTATTTCTACCTGCGTGTATATACTGAATATGTGGCTCTGCACTTCATCCATGGAGTCCAGGCCGTAAGCTACCGTTCCCAGGTGAAGTCGCTTGAAGACCATCTCGTTCTGCGTAAGAGTTCCTGTAACAGAAGCAGCATTGGACATGGAGTGGGAACCAACAGGTCTATTCCCCAGCACACATTCCAATCCTTGCTGTACACCAAATTCAAGAGAAACTGGGACAGAAGCTGAATCAGTCACTGCACCAGGCTCTCAGCACAGGCTGAGGCCAGCAAAAAAGACAATATTAACAAACCCGAGGGCTAATTCTCCTGGGAAGTAGAGGTACACATCACTGTGCCAGTAAATAAGAATGAGATTTACCCCAAAGTCAATGCCAAGAGCTGCAGGCATAACTCTGGTCCTGCTGGAACCAAAGAAAACTTCTGGAAACAACTTCAATGGGACCAGGATTTTATGTCAGACCAACCTTTTCACTACAGCTTAGGTCTTCTGAATTCAAGCTCAACTTTAAAAGTGTAAGGACAACAGCAGACAGACTTATGGTACGTTTCTGCCTACATGTGTAAGCGATCTTCATCTGGCTTTGAAAACTAACTAAGAAGTTGCTTTTCATTTTATTTTTACCCTCAGCTTTCGGTTTAATAGCATACTTTACGTGTTCTTTGAAGTAGCATAATATTCCTGTCCTATCTTACTTATAGTGTGTACAGAACAAAAAAATGCAAAATTTTTTTTCAAAAACCGATTAAATCATATTGTCAAAGTGACAGGAAATGCATACTTCTTCTAGTCCAAAGAAATCTTACATTATACTCTCTGGCTGGCCAAAAATGTAACAAAATCCAAACAACAACATACCATGACTCAAAACTGTATTTTCTACACAGATACCTGTTTTGTCTGTAAGCAAATAGGATATCCTCCCCAGCTGCTCAGGAATAGTGCTGGACCGAACCACAGTCCCAGGGATTTTAGAATCTCTGCGGATCACCCAGCTGTAGACAATTTTCCCCATGTCCAGATTCACACGTAAACTATGCAGGAGGAAGGGGAAAGAGAAAATGTATCTCCAGTTAAACTTTGGAAAAAATCATTGTGAACTGCCACAATGCAATGAAAGGACACGTCTTCCACGCTGAATTTGCGCTGCCAAAGAGGGTGTTTTGGGAGAAGTATATTCAGAGTCAGTGGTCAGGTGGCAAATGAGGAGAAGGACTGTGCGTTGCTGCACAGTCTGTAATTCTGGTACTGTAATTCAAAGATAGATGATAAAATTACGTTGAGAAGAACAGATATAATTTGAGGAGAAGATGGACACAGACAAGTAAGGACAGCGTGATTGATACACAGCAGGTTAAAAATGGAACTGAAATTAATCCCAGACCTACACTGAAAGTAACAATCTACTTATTAATATAGTGCAATTAAATATTAAAGTTTCAGTCCCCTCTAAAAGGCAATTGGGTCCTATTACACTACATGCTGTATAAATATCTCTCCTTTTCCATTTTTTGCTCTGCTCTTATCAAAGTAACTAGGCAGCCCGAACACTGAGAGAAGTGGCCTTAAATGACTAATCATAAATAACTAACAGCCTGAGTTAGAGTCAGTGAACGGGTGAATATGCTAAACAAATTCAGTAGAAACAACAAAGCAATTCTTACATTTGATCAGTAATTTGATTTCTATTTCTAGATTTGCTTACTTGTCAAATGAGGAATAGGTAAGAGTTTACATGCTTGCTCATATTAGAAGTATGGAGGAGGATGCAAAGGAAACAGTATTTTGCTGGGAAGAATTAGCAATCGCCTTACCTAATGGGAATGATGTTTGAGAACAGAAGAAGAAATCTTATGATCTGAAGATACCAACGGCCAGCAAAGTGCTGAAGGGCCACCATGACAAGTGAGACCACCACAAGAGCCCCAAACAGGATCTTGGTAAGACAGTTCACTTCCAAATCAAAAAGACCAATCTAAAGAAATAAAATAAAGACATTTCAAACACACAAGAGAAGACATTAGCTCAACGTAATATTCACAAAGGGAATAAACTGCCATACCCGAAGAGCCATTCTCCACTAGTCAACTTCTTCTCTTTTAAAACACTACAAACATATTTAAATTTATAAGCAATATTGTTGCCAGCTTACTAAATAAGACTTCCACCCTTTGGAAGCTAAGCAATGCATGAAGAGGTTTGAGAGGACTCATGCTGCCAAAAGCTGCAGACTATATAAACATCCCTGCACCTTGTCTTAGCTTTGCTGTAATAGAAGAATGCAGCAAAAGAAGCTTTCCTATTCCAACTGGGACCACCTCATTATTACCATATAAAACAGTGACTTCACCAATCTTAAAAAAGTGACAAGACACAGGTATAATAGGATCAAAAAAATAAGGAGAAACAGGTTCTGCTATGGTAGCTATCTTAAATCATAGGCTGGAAGATATGAATCATTATTGCTATGGGGTTGTCCCTATAGTGTGTATGTATAGCATTTGGAAGGATTTTCTTTAAAAAAATGATAAACTTCTGTCCCTTTTTATTTATTATAAGGCTGTTTCCTTACCATACCTTACTTCTTGGGTTTGAAGTATTCATCACACTGCGCAGTTCCCTTCCAGTGTAGAGGACAACTCCCACAACAGTACCTAAACAAAACAGAGAATGCATCAGCCAAAAAAAAAACAACCTCTGTTTGTTTTCTCTATAAAAATACTTGCTGGTTCCAAAGGCTTGACAGTTGGAAAGGATTTTTAACAGGTTAATTTCAGAAGCAATAGCAACTGGAAATTAAAAAAAGCTGGTACCTGAAATATAAAACCTACGAAAACACAGACTTTGAACAGAAGACATCCTACAAAAAGTCAGTAAGTCTTCAACCACACTGCCCATATGGTTGGACTTGATGCAGCATCACAGACTGCATCAACTAATGTGCATGGAAAAAGAAGTCACCTGCTTTGCTCTCTCGACTTTCCCTGACCCCCTTTTGATGTCAGTTGTCTCTCCCCACTATAAATAAAAGCTGCTAAGGATGGAGCATTTCTTGGTTTTCCTTCCACCACTTTGAAGCCCACTTAGGTGTGGGTAAGTTTGCCTTACACCAGATAGTGGTCCTTCACTGTGTGTCAAAATTAAATCAGTGTTCTGGGCTACGGTTCTTCTTTATTGGTGAAGGTTGCCACAATCAGAATAAATCAATGAATTCCAACAGCTTTCAAAGACAGAATTACCTTATTTTAAAATCTACAATTTACTTTAAGTATTTGTCTAATTGCTGTTCCCACTGAAAGGTGAATCATACCAACTGCTATCTTACTGTAACAGATGGAGTTGCTGGGAGCCTATCAGTATTTTAATGCTATGTCCCACAGTTGCTAAAGAGCTGACAGCAACAAAGTTCTCCCTTTTAGTCTCACAGAAACATAATACAGTTTAGCACCATAAATTACTGGGTTTCTACAGATTTCTTGTAAAGACTTTGCAAAAAGCCATACAGAAAAAGCTATCTACCATCAAGAATTTAAAAGCTGCTATTGCCGAAGTCTAATTTTTACTAGAAAATTTTAAGGGTCTGTAAAAACGGAGAAAAACAACACTGGAAAAAAAAGCACTGCTTTTTTTGGCAAATACATTGCCATTTTATACTCTGCTATTCCCCTGCTCCCATTAATGATCAAAGTTTTAACAAGCTGCAAGTGAATTATTTTTAAATAAGACTGATTCAAATGCAGTGGTTTCTAAAAATATGCTGGGAAACGTTCCTTTAAAAAAAAAAAACCAAAACCCAACAACAAATCACTGGAGCCAGATGGCAGGTGGAGGTAAGATCATCACAACTCAAATCAGCAGATGGCACAGCTACTCCAAATCAACTGCTAACAGTCAGAGTCAGACCCATTCCTACTACAGCAGATGGAGAAAGCCACATAGCTCTGCTTTGTCTTACAAGCAAAGGCTGCCCCAGTGAGATGGCGTCACCACAACCTGACAGCTTTCACTTACAGAAGAAGAAAAATAATATCCACATTTTTTCCTAACAGAAATAACCCACAACATGCTATTTATTTTTACCATTGGAGAAACAAAACTGAGTATTATATTGATCAAGTCAGTCAAAATGAGAGGAAAAACCTGCCAGGACTAGAAAACAGCTTGAAGGCACAGTGGTATCTATAAAAAGAGTGCTTCTAGTTGTTTTATGGCCATTCAAAACAGACTCAACTGCATAAACCATTTGAAATTATGAACATATTTGCAAATGTTATTCCTATTAACTGAACTCACAAAGATGTCTATCTACAAATAACTTATTCAGAAAGAAGGATTAGATTCAAACAGTAAGTTCATTTGGGCAGAGAGGAGATCGTTGCATGCCTTGATACAGACACCAAGACCACCCGGGACTTCTGAACAGCACTGAAGTAGAAACCAGGTGGAGCAGAGTGTGCGCTGTGCCCTCCTTTGGGGAAAAATGTCTGCACCCACATGTACACTACATGCAGCTGAGTGTACAGCAGCAGAAGAGCTTTTACCCTCAGCTGGCTGTGAGCGTGCTGAGGGCAGGAGAGCATTCCCCTCCGCCTTCAGTACGACTATTCACTGCAAACCGCCCCCCCAGTGTTAGGCTTAGCCACGGCAGTGTGAGATCTGCAATGGTTCAAGAGCTGGTACAAATTAAAGCTTTGATACAAGAGGCAAGAAAGCCCCCCGGGAAAGGGGAGGCTGCAGGGAGAGGAGCCATATAGGACAGAATCACAAGAAAAATGGCTTTCCATTTCTCCATCTATTTTGTTCAAAAGCAGGATGAGCTGAGACTCATGCATTAAGCAGCCTGATGGGTATTTGAAGCTGCCAGGCTGACTACATGTGTCTACACTCAGAGGTGAGGAAGGTAGGTTACCTACTGCATGGCAATTACTAATCTATAAATGTAATTTACTTGATTAAATTTTATTTGGACCTTGATTAAATTGTATTTGGACAACTTTTGTTTTTTACAATCCTTTGGTCACAGCCCTGTGACAACACTGTAATACATTTCAAAGAAGAGTCAGAGCAGGATTAGATAGAAACATACAGGAACAAAATTTATTCACTGTTTTCTGGTTTTAAAAGAGCAAATCAAAATCTTTTCAGTGCTTCAAAAAAAATCTTTTCAAGTTCACATTTCTTCTACTATTATTAATTCCATGTACACCTTGGTACTGCACTGCCAAGTGTCTCCATTCAACAACTTTAATTCCAGAACTGTACTACAGAATTTCACTCTCCTCCAGCTATCGCCCTGCAAACTTTGCAAGTGTGCTGGACAGGAGAGAAACAAGGCTTTTACTTTGACAAGCCTCTACAAAAGGGCATTGATTAATCTCAGGCCCTGGGAGCTTATCGTATATATAAGCCAAAATCTGTCAAAGAATTTATTTTTTTCCTTTTTAAAAGTATATAAGACGAACTCAATGGAAGCACTTACCTGGAAATCTTTCATCTTAGCTTCTGTTACCAGAATCTATTTGACACCATTTCTGTTACAGATTAGGATGTCAATGTGGAGAGCAATTAAGTGCTATTCTGGTCCTAGATGCTAAAGAAGTGCCCAAAGGCCACTCCAATTCTTTCTCATCTAGGAATGTCCAAGAGGCAATTAGATGTCAGCTCAGCTCCCCAGAGGTGTTAGGACAAGTGGGAAACCTCATTCCAACTGCTAATTTCTCCAACTGACAGAGATTATTATTCCATTACAAAAAGACCTTTAAAAATTGTTAACATATTCCCTTAAAAAAAAATTTACACGTGCCTCCATCTTACCCGATGCAATCACTGTGCTGGCCCATAGGGTGTTTTCTATGCTTAAACTTTCATTTACTGGAGGGTCACTGTCCTCCTACAACAGAATAAAAAGAAAAATAAACAAACTTGTCATTAATGCAAAAGACCAGTGGGTGACAAGAGTCACATAGACGTGTTTGGAGAGGGATGCTGGGAGAGTTGGTAGAGGGCTTCTTGATAGGATGAAGGATTTTCATAAACCCAGGTAAATCTCTGGTTGGGTTAAAAACATGAACACTTTGTTTCAGTGGAACAGAAGGCAGGGGGACGGGAATCTATTAAGATACCTCTGCCTGCTGAAGGCCCCTAGGAATCATAAATGAGAAAGGGATTTGTCAGCAGCTCTCCAGGGACTACAGGAAAATGTTCCCTCACTTGGCTCATGCAGATTAATAGCATTTCTCCTGCTACTGTAAGGTCTCACTGAGAACCTGTTTGGACTGCTCAGTGATGCCTGGAAAGTTGTCTGATACACACCAGACAACAGTTACAAGAAAGTGTGATTCCTCTTAGGCACCAAAAGATTAATTCTACACAATTGTACCTCTGGATGAGAAAGTAAATTAATGTTTGTGTAGGTTTTATATAGGAACTGCCTCCCCAAGCCACTCAAACTCCTCTTCCATGCCAGCACTATTAAACCAGATCAAACCATGCCCCATAAAAGGGTAAAGCCTACAATTTTGAAGTAGAACAAGTAGAAGCTTCTAAAAAGCTGTAACTATCTCCTATTTGTTACAAACCCATTCGTCCTCTGAAAGTTACCCAAAGGTATTAGATGAATCTTTCAAAATGTTCATAATCCCACTGAGAGGAAAAAAACCCAACCTTTTGCCCCAAGTAAGCAATGCATCTTCCCAATAAGTCAAAAGATACTTATTTTTTAATGGTGATATTTCACAGTGGCTCCGAGCTGCTGCCCTCTGAAACAGGGGGCAGACATAACTGAGTTCACATAGGTTGCATGCAATTGAAGGCAAAAAACCAACTGACTCGGAATTAAGACTGCTATTGCCTGATCTAGCTAAAATCCCCTATCTTTTCACAATTAAAGGATTTTAATCCTACAGAGTCCATGGTGGTCCAGATTTCTTTCTGAACAGGCACCATGAATACGTAACTACCAATCTCCATCCAAATGTTCAGGTCTAATACCTTCAGAGTAAGGTTCTTAATCCCAAACAGCCTATGACATTGTCTCCAAGTCAAAGCTTCAATAACCATATTGTCGTTTCAGATTTATTTCATGGATTTTATAAAGAAAGAAAAAGAAGAAGAAGAAGAAGAAAGAAAAAGAAGAAGGAAAAAGAAGAAGAAGAAGAAGAAAGAAAAAGAAGAAGGAAAAAGAAGAAGAAGAAGAAGAAAGAAAAAGAAGAGACAAGGAATGGCAAGAGAGACTTCACTGTTTCTCCTGAAAAACTCTGGCATCCTGGTAGCATTCAGCAGGTTTGCACAGCAAACACTACATATACGACTTCAAGCATATGTCAACAAGACTCACCCTTGTGAAGGTCCCCACGAAATTATGTATATCAATATTGGGTTCTTCTGCATATACATAGGATCGGATTTGCAGTAGGTCCTATAAAACAGACATGTTTTGGCAGACAATTAGACAACAACATTTTAATAATGTACAAATGTTTCTACCAAAATACTTTGAGCAAGAGTTACTTATCAAGTTAAGATAATTACTAAATTATATTACTTACTGGAGTCCAACTGTCTAAGAGAAAATACAATTGTACCAGCTTCACTGAACAGTATTTCTTGAACTGATACCTGAGAGACTCCTGGGAGTTACTTAGATGTCGGTGCCCCATGAAAGAAATTTCAGCCTGAATAACCAAGACAGCCTAAGACATTTATTACTTAGTAGCAAAGAAGGTTTGGACTAGTCTTCCAAGGCAACCAAGGAACACCCTATCACTCAGTATTTAGTTTAAGATGCTAGTGTCACTAGGAACAGTTCTGTGGTGACAAGAAGATACGCCAATTCCACACAGTGTTTTCACTGCTGACTCCTACACATGCATAAACTATTCACTCCATGGAGAAAATGCCTTGCTTCAAAGCCTTTGTATAAAATAAACTTATTGCACTTTTTACAGATAGAACATCAATAAAACAGGTACTTAGATTCCACCCCCTTCCCCCACCCTTTTTTTTAAAAAAAAAAAAAACAAACCACACGAACTACTTTAGCTAGAGATTTTGGGAAACAGCATGTTTGATGGAAGTTATATGCTTATTTCAGATCATACAGTGGAGCTTCCATGGTGACACTCCTCCTTTCATAAAGGCAAGCAATGAAAACTTAACTGCCTCTGAAGCCATTTCATGAAAATGCATGAATTGTGCCTCTGAACATACTGCAGTGCAAGAAATGAAAGGGAGCATTTGAGAAGTACCACGACAAGGGTACCTATCCTTCAACAAGACCTATCCTGCAGTAAGTTACTGCAATGGTCTCTGGAGAGGAAAAAGAAAATAGGAACATCCTACCATTAGCCACCTCCTGCTGCAAGGTCATTCTCTAGCTGCCAACCCCAGTGCCTATCTGCACAGCTTTGCAGTGACAGCCATGCGGCACCTTGCTTCACCTTACCTGAAATCTTGCCTGGAGCTTGGGAAGAGCCAGCTTACCCTTATATTCTTTGTTCCAATGCTAATCTGTAACATGCACTGAGCCCTGTGCAGCACAATGCTGCATTAACCTGTTTCTCAAAACAGCCCATTAACTGAAGCACCTGAATGTTTTTCAGGTAAAACAGATAACACGTGTTTACCAAGTAGAATATTTTGTACGAAGGCAGCTTACAGAAGCAGTTGGCAGTCTCTGAGTGCAGGTAACAGGCAGCCGCAATTTCCAGTCTGTCTCACCATCCAGCTGGTCGGTGCGAAGGAAGCAAGACCCTGTGGATTTTCAACACCAGTCATTGCTCTTTCCAGATCTGTCTTAGCTACACCCATAGCTCATGAAATGAGCTATATATCTAGGACACACTTCTTTCTTTGGAAACAGTATCTGATTTCAAGTAACATTTGTTAATAACGTAAGAACGATATTATTGCATCACACATTCATTTCCTTCTACTAGTCCAGAATACAGTGAGACTCTGCACTGTATCTTTAAGACATTTGAAACGTTGTCATTAGTCTTTATGTTTTTTAATGCTTCTGATCAAACATTTCCTTATCCCACACTTAACAAAACAAACCTGAACGGCAAGTAAAATGATTTACATCTATAACGCAAACCATTGTGCAACCTGATTCATTTACCCTGGCTTCAACTACCTACATTCTTTGATTAGCAAACAAAAACAGAGTATAACATCCTGAGAAGTGGTGGTCCATAAAAGCATTTGAATTCTCTGTCTCTAAAATTTTACTATTATCTATTTCTTTCACATTTCTAAAAGATAATTTTCTCTAAACAACCAGTGAAAGGTTAATGGCTATTTTGACAATTGGTTCCAGATGTTTACCATTCTTCTCCGACGTCCTCAGGAAGATCATGTCAGCAGGGACCCGCTGGTTCTGTTAGGAGAAGAAAGGCCATTATTGTGCATACACCCCTGCACGCGTGTGCAACCGCCTTCCACAGCCCCACCGTGACAAGCAAAGCGGGTATGGAGGAGAAAGAGGATTTCTTTGTCAAACTGAAGCTTGGTATTCATTTTGCTTTGCATCCTAAACTCGCTTCCCTGCAGAATTCCAAGTGCAGAATAATAACTGGTGCCAGCTCCCACTGACTGGACCGACCAACAGCTAGGTTTACAAAAGAGCTAGTGAGTAACTCTAGAAGTATGAAGAAATTTTAAACTAATGCTGGTTTCCTTTCAAGAAATCCCATGCTAGAAGAAAGCATGTATCTGGAGTCTATAGCTACCATTTTTCTTTTTTTTTGTACGGAATATTTTCAGACTAATAGTTTTAGAGGACATAGCTGCTTGTACAGAGTATGTGAAAAAGGAGGCGGGGGGAGAGGGAGAAACTGTGAAAAATGATTAAATATTATAACTAGTGTTCAACACTTGATATTCTGAGCCTATCGTAAAACAAAATGTGACTTCAAAATATCTCATTTTCTATGGTCTTGCAAAAAAAGTACTTTACAAAGAAAAGATACACATAAAGGCTAACCTTTTCAACAATGATGAGGTCACCCACTTGTATATTAGAGCTCTTCACCTTCACAGTCCCTGCAAAGGAAAGATATCAGTGCATTAGAGCAGCAGCAGGAGATGGTCTGTGGGTGCTGTGCAATGCTCCTTACCTCCCTTCCTTCCAGTTCACTATTCTGGAGAAAATGGGTAACATTCCTATCACAAGAACTAGGCAATGCTGCCCTGTAAAGAATTACCAAGCCCAATGCTCCCACTGGGTAAAGCAGTAGGTTTCAATCTGCGAAAAGGGCTGAAAGCTTTTTGTCTAACAGCTCCAGACCTCAGCCCTGGACGCAGAAACCCCCCTGGTCACTCTCTAGTGACAACTCTAAAAGAAGCCCTTAAACTTTTTTTCATACCGCTTAACCCAGGAATTTGAAAATACTTTTGGCGTCAGACAGACAACAGAGCAAGAACAGAAAAATTACAATAGGGAACCATCAACTTCTGACCCCTCTTTCCCAGGTGGTTAAAATTTAAAGCTCAACTCTCAAGCCAGGACCTGGGAGCCATAAGTGAAATGGGCCCATCTTAAAAACCAGGCTCATTTCCTTCCATGCCGCAGCTCTTGTATCTGGCTCAGCTCTACCACCTCTCCTTTGCCTCTCGGTGGACGCAGCCTGAACAAGCCCTGCAGAGCACAGGTCCTACAGAAAACGCGTAAATATTTATTTCTTTGCAGCTGTCAAACATTTCCCAGTTGCTTTAAAACAGGGGATTAATTTAACAATTGGCTAGTAATTTCAAATCATTAGCCAGCTCTAGATTTGGCTTCTCAGACTAACTAGTGATTTATAATCAGTTAATTTGAACCCTGCCTCTATGTGTCTGTCTGTTATATTTCAACAAAAGCCTCTTTAATCTGCTGTGATTTGAGTGGAAGTGGGGGAGGCACGTGGAGCTCACCCCGGCACGGACAACACTCCTACTGTACCTCGAAATTCATGGGCTAACTGGCCAGATAGCAGCTCAGGAGGAAAGGAGAAGGGGGAAGGGAGGGGGAATAGAAATTAGCACAAAGCACAAAGGTCACTAGGATTTTCCTACTGGCAGTCCCTTCATTAGCATCCTTCTCAGGATATGCTTCAGTGTTTCTGCTCCAAATTAACAATGAAAGCCATTCTGGGCTCCCGGCAGCCTGCTGCTTTGGTGACACACTGTGTGCTTAACAACATGCTTCATCACTGCTGCTAATAAATGCAGACTTCCTTACATGCTGTAATTATTCCTACAAATTATAAGCAGTCATGGCCCATTTCACAAATATCTCGTAGGTCTTTCGCAGATTCTGGGTTTTGTCTTGCAAGATCTGTAGTTTAAAAAAAGGGTAAACAAAACAAATGCTGGGCTAAAGACATCTCTGCCGGGGCAGGAAGCATACCGGGGATTAAGAGTCCATTACGTAGAAGCTTGAAAAGAAAAGCCGCACTCCAAGAGGATCCAAAAAAGCATCCCTGGCAGTCTTCTGTATGGGCTATACAAAGTTAGGTACTATGACACTAAAAGGGTCTGACAGATAACATCTCTTCCTCCCCTTTTAATACGGTTATTCACGAAACAACAAAAAGTGCTTTTGAATATTCTCCTGTGCAAAGGAGGAAAAAAAACCTGTGTGCTCTCCCCACACAGGCATAGCAATTCCTAAACCATTGTGCAAAAGAACTCTTGGAAGGAGAGGTGGATTTGTTTAGCCATATTTTAGGTATTTCTCTTAAAGACCACACGGATTTATTTATACTGACTGTCAGTATAGGAAGCACTACCTGCAGGGTTCAAGAATGGAAACTTATTTTTGTAGCACTTTCCTTAACGATGTAAATTCACACTGGAAAAGAAAAATTAACGCCTGGACAAAGCTACATCGTGATGATTTCCTACCATTATGCACATAAAAAGCTTTTTGAATCATTATTCTGAGAATAGTATCATCTGCTTTAAAATTTTTCCAATACGAGAAAAATCAAAGCAGTTGGAGCAGATTTGTTTTGTTCAATAACCCTCCCACCTCAGCTGTTTTAAGAAAGAGAGGACCTTTCTAACCAATACATGTTTTTATAACTCCTGTATAAATGAGATGCCCTTTTTAGGTAGCAAAGCTAATTCTGCTTTTCCAGCCATACTCATGGCCTCTCATGGATGACATCTCTGCAGTATGTACCATATGTCCTGCTAAGAAGGCGCGGGACCAGATGTTTCCTTTGACTCAGGACTCCCATAAAGTAACTTACTTGAATTAGTTTTATTTTGATCTTGGGAATTCTGTAATTCCTTTTTCTTTCTGTGGGGAAACTACCTCCTAAACATTAGATGTTTTCTCACGCGTGTTTAAGAAACTAGCTAATAACACAACTGCTTCATTTCCCAGTATTGCTCTGCTACTAAAGTATTTTTGTAATAATAAATTACTGCTTTTATAAATGCATCTATAAGTGCTTACTCTAAATACACATAGCTTTATTTAGCATTTACAATGCTTCCAGTTTGTATTTTCAGAAGTTAATCAGAATACAAATCAGTGATTAACACAACTTAAAAAAGCAACTAGTCTTGATGTCTTCTTTTTTAAAAAAAGAATAAATTCTTAATATTTGATTGATAGTTGTTTCATTCTTTGCTGTATCCTGATTCATATATTTTTTTAAAAGACAAAAAAATAAACACAATAAAATGCAAAACAGTTTGTTCCAACTTCAGCTATGGCCTTTGCAATTATCTCCAAATCTGCAGTGTGATGGTGGTACCATAAAGCAGATTATTTAAAGTATTAAATATATTAGCCAGAAGAGATGCCTTTTTCTACCATGCGAGCACTTAAGTCAAGATTTCACAAAAGAACTGCAGAGCTTCACTAAGGTACAGATCAAAACACTGAATTCGGCATTAAAGATGAAGCCAGAGGTTTATTAAAAACAAGTCAAATGCATCTGAAAAAAAGGGTTGTTTGGATGTGCTACACCAAACTTTTGGCTTTTGCAGCCTTATGCTGTATAAACTGTGGAGCAGGACTCAGAGGGTTTGGGAAAATATTGTTTTTATATGGCTGGTAAATGCCAATGATCTGTATCTTAAGTAGCACCCCGCAGTAGGAGGTCTCTTCCCATTTCTTTCTGTGGAGTTTCTCTCTATTATGCAGTGTTACCCGGGGAGGGGGGTTGTGAGAGAAGAAAAACAAACCAAGAATTTGCAAGCACAGTTCTAGCTTTCTATCAAGCAGAAAGTCAGCACACAGACTTCTGAACACAAGGCAGTTTGTAGGTTTATGAATGGGGGATTGAAATTTGATTATTTTTTATTACAATCCAAACAACTGTCCTTTAAATGGAGAGCTTTCTATTAAAAAAAATGCTTTCCAGAGGTCCAGTTTCATCATTTTGGAACATGGATCGTATCAGTAGATCAGGGTGGAGTTTTTTTTATGTTATGTAAAATAAAGGAAAATACAGAAAATACACTACTGTCTACTCTGCCTCACGCTGCCCTCCGAAAAGATTAGTCCCTGGAATTCAGCAACCTTATTCAAAATAAAATGTGATCCAAAGAGGATTCTCCCTTTTTCTCTACAAAGCAAGCAGCTTAGTGAATCTTAAAAAGCTTAACAAGAAGAGTGCACGAAAAGTTTCACATACAGGAGCAAAGCTGCAAATCTAAAATAACCCCCCAGGGGTGGGGGACCAGGCTGGCGGGTGTGCTGGAGCTGGAGAGCTCCTGGCCGGCAACAGGAGCTGTGCCCGGCCACGCTGCAGCCGCGGCTCTGCACAGGGCGCAAGGAACCGCACACAAAGAGGACAAGAGGATCCCAATTCGGGAAAGCACTTAAATCTGTGCTTACTTCTATCCCTATTCAAAACTGCATATAAGCATCTGCTTAAGTCTCCCTGATTTCATTCAGACCTAACTATGTATTTACATCCGTGGGGTTGCACTGGGAGGCCAATGTTGGAGATGGGAAAAACTATTCTTCAGCCACCCTAACTGCAGCTTAGTGCAAATACTCAGGAGAAATAAAAATAGCTTGTAGAAAGCTACAGTGCTCCATTAGATCCGTTATAGCCAATCTTCAAGACAGCAGCGCTCGATGTCGAGCTTCACCTAATCCCCCTCCCCCAAAACACTGGCTTTAGAGATGAAACTACTGTGAAGTTTTAAAAAAATTATGTAGAAACATTTCAGAGGGCTTTTGTGCATCAGTACCCTTCTGCACTGCCCCTTTTCAGCACAGGGCTGTGCCAATATCCTGAAGCATGAACTGTGCTATTCAACAACAACAAAAAAATGAAACAGCCTGTAAACAGTCCAAGGCAAGTCCTACCTGGAGTTTTGTCAGCTACACTGAAAATTAATGGTTAAGATCAACTGTTCTCAACTTATTTTGATATTTGCTGCTTCTACTTCTGACCTGATGAAGGGCTTCCTTGAAAGCTTGCCTAGTTTTTCTAACTGTATTAATAGATACAACAAAACAAACCCAACACTCTTCCACCTCCCAGCCATGGTGGCCTCTCAAGGTACTTCCCTGCTCCTAGATGATTCTCAGAGGTGCTAACGTTTTAATCAGTGGAAAAGTAGATGTTCAGGTCTCCTGAAAAGTAGTACTTGAGCACTGAGATTCAGTGAGAGACAGAAAATTACTTTTCTCCCCAAACCACGAGACAATCATAAATAATTTTCTGTATTCTTCCTACTCTAAACCATACCGCTACAGAGTCTCATTCCTGTTTCTGCACCAAATTCATGTTAAATAAAGTGGCTTAAGATTTTCGGCTAGTGCCCAGCTGCCAATCCTCCTTGGTTTCTTTCACAAAATTAGAGAAGTTAAAGAACTGGGGGGAGGGAAATCATTCATGGGAAACGTAATAGCAATATGAAAAGAACTAAAGGAGAGGTCAGGCCCCGTATAGATCATTGAATAGAATCCAGAAGGCAACTCTTTTATATCTTTAAATAGATGTAGTACACCCCTCTTGGATGAGGCTTTTGTTGGTTGCCAAGCATTTTAAGTGTTGTAGTAAGAACACGTTATTAAAAGGGGATTTAATATTCAGAAACTCAAACTCCCTAGTTCAGAGTTGCCTCATAATTCCCGGCATGTGAAATATATGCAGCCTTAAGCAATTACATTTAAAAAGCAGCCTTATTCTTAAAAGCGCAAGTGTTGAAAGCAGCATATTTTTACTACACCTAGTTTACTGCATCTTAATTCAGGGGTATAAACTTTTATAGCAAAAAACCTGGAAATAAAAAAAAGAAGTTGCTTAAATTCAGTTCATTCCCTTTTTAAAAACAAAACCCTGGCCTCACCATCATTGTCATGGTACTAGGAGTAACTCTATAGTGAGGCAGCATTCGATTTTTCAAACGAGAATTTAAATGTCTTTGTTAGGTACGGCGCAGCTGTAAACAATGGCCAGAGCCAGGGATCAGACACAGCTAAGCTGCAGCCCGGGCTCACTTACAAATGAGGTCTCCAAACTCCTCACAGTTGGAGAAAGAGGCTAAAGAGGCTAAAGATGATGTATACAAAAAAATACAAGAGAAGATATTCCCAATATTGAGGAACTACATCAGTCGCTGCTAACACAAAAGAAATGATAACATAGTTAGCAAAGGACTTGCATGATGTAAGTCCCTGTCTGGTACAACCCAGAAAAAAATATGAAACTCAACTGGTAATGCATGTTCAATAAGTGAAGGAACATGTCAGTATGTCAAGCAAGTCACCTTTAATTTAATACATGCACTCAATAATTTAATACATGCACTCACAAGCTCCTTCAGTACACAGAGTACTTGTACTTAACAATGATTTGCAGTACCCGTGCTGAAGTGGTCCCTAGTCCCAGACACTAGAACACAGCCTACCTTCACCCTCATTAGTTGAATCTACCTCTGCATAACCATCTTCTAACAATTTCACAGACCTAGATTTAATTCTTCTAGTAAAGTGCTTTTGCAAATTATCTGCCTATGTAGATCCTCATCCCTTTTTTAAGCACACATTTGTTGTTTCCATTAAAGAATATGAATTGGTAGCTCACAGGAATCCTTCTTACATCTGTCCCTCTCACCTACAGGGTGAACAAGCAAAAAACACATGCAGGGGGAAAACAGATGCACCATTACCAAAATCGGAAGAAAAGCAAACAAAAAAACCCCAAACATCTACATCTACATCAAAAAACACATCTACTACAGCTCCATTCCCATTTTCTTCCTGCTATGCTGTTTGCTGTATTTGTCTGTCCCTCCCCTCATCCATGCAACATTATGGAGCACTTCTCTTGCGAAACAGCTTTGCAGGAAGGAAAACATTTCCCTTCTGGAAACATCCACCTCCACAACCTAGAGCAATTCAGATCCAGTTTCATTTTCTTTGGTGACTCCAGTCCACCAAGAAGGGAAAATAATTGGGAAAGAACTTTTGGCCTACACTGGAGTTAGGAGCAAGCAGGTTTTAAAAATACCACACCAGCTGCTTGGAAGTTCACCCCTGCCTGGTGTTGGCTGCAGTGAACTCCCAGCCCACCAAGCAGGCTCCTCCGCGTGTAAACGCACTGGCTGCCCGCCCCCCATGCCTCCAGTCGCCAAGATGATGCTCTGAAGCTATCTGAAGCAATCCACACACCCCCCTCTTGCATTAGCTGTGCATCTCCCTAGGAAACGCTCAGCAAAGCCCAGCATCCACCGCAGCCTGGCGAGGAGCCATCCACGAGAAGCCACCCGGACCCCTGAGGCCCCCGCAGCGGCAGGAGCAGCAGCGTGGCTGTGAAGCCACATGCCTGCGAGCCCATAACCCCCTCCCCATTCCTTGAACTCTGCTTCTCCAACTGTCAGCAGCGTTTGATTGAGTTGCAACTCCCGGCGCTGCCGCAGCCACGCCAGGATGCAGCGGGCGTGCTGGAGCCGCCGAGCCGACCTCTCGCTGTGAGCTTGCTGTAGATCTGCGAGTTCACTTCCTTGTCGCGCATGTAACATCTGATCTCCTCCGTGGCCTCTCGGATGACGGTAACAGCAAGCACAAATCCCTAAAAGGAGCATGGGGGGGAAACCAGAATGGATGAAAAGGTCAGGAAAAATCACATCTGCCTCTAATAAGAGCAATATTGATCAATACCAGCGCCAACAATCTGCATTTCCTTATTCTATTTTCTCTCACTAAATCATTATAGGGATATTATGTGTTGCTGTCCAGAACTCCCAACAGCAAACTGACAACAGACTTGTCGCTTAAAAAATTATGGTTGTGTTTCTTAGCTTTACCATGATGCTCTGCCAGTACCTCCCAAGCAAATCTTTGTAAAGTTTATCTGAACAGTGTAAATAACATATTTCATCTCACTTCACAGGTGAGTAACCAAGACTGAGAGGGGTTACACAAAAGTCCAAGGTAAGACAGAATCCCTCAAATCTCAGTATTCCCTCCACCACAGAGCCATCAAGGCAGCCCACCTAATCTGGGAGATTTCTTTATATAGAAATCTATACAGAAATTTATATGACCCCTTTTTTATATATACACAGATATCTATACTTACATAATGTGTGTGTATTCATTTGTATGTATACACACACTCAACCTACACAAATAAGCACTCTAAACATATTAATGTGAACTACTCATAGTATAATTACATATCTGTCTGATGAGGGTTTCAGTCCTACTCTTCTGTGGATATGAGTAGTCATTCCATTTCCTCTTGTAATGAGGAAAATGCCCACATCACATCCTTCACTTTATAAAAAAATGACTAAATTAATGCAAAACAATTCTTTATGAGGCTAGTACCACAAAGTCATTTTTTTGGTAGGCACCATTCAGCTCAGACTCACTAAACAGTTAAAACACTCCTCACCTGTTACAGAAGAAAAATGAACTTTTTACAACCTGTATTCTTGAAAATTGCAACCATGTACTAAGAAAGGGGCAGGGTGATGTTAGAAACCGAGGGTTACACGAAAGACACATGAAAATGTCTGTAAATACCCAAACAGAAGATTTTGCCAGTGGGTTGCAATTTTCAACTTTAAGTTACTTCATTTTTTGAAAGAACAGCTGTGCACACACCTCCAAAAACTGCGTGTATGAGGTGTTAAGCTAGGCACAAAGAACTTGTGAACCTGAACTCCACAGCCACCTCAGAAAAGTCTTGCTGTGAGCATTGCTCACACTACCCAAACACAGTAACAATTCAAATTCTCACATTTTTTTAAACAAAGAAACATGATGAAGAATGACCTAAGAGCTACTAAGACCGAAGGAGAGCGGTTTCTTTAATTATTAAAATACAGAGGTACACTTCACCTGCCAGCTCTCACAATCCTATAATAAAACTAAATAGTCCCTAATTCTAGTATATACATATGCATCTAAATGCACGGTCAAGATTAATTAATACCAGTCATGAAATGCAATGTAGTATGTTTCTGCAGTATTTAAAAATGCAGACACATGAAGAGACCCAAGGATGGGCATTTACTTTTTTAAAAAAATGCCTGTACTCAATCCTGTATTTACAAACATTGAAAGTAAGAAGCCATTAATACAATATTTTCAGAGAAGCGTTTCACCCCACAGTGTTCAGGACCATGACCATCTGTTTTGCACCACCGTGGAAGATCTCTCATTCCCATAACCAACAAATTAAGAAAAGAATGAACATTTCTCTTCTATTTACAAGTTGCATTTATGCGTTTAGCTAGAAATTCCTATATGCTTTCCAAAATAAAATAAAAAAGCATCAGTTATTTTCAACTTATGTTTCAGCTGTTTGAAGAGTCTTCAAATAATCGCCCCAAAATATTCCCACATGTGCCGACTCACTGTATCATCTCGTATGTCATTCCATCCCCAACACTCATATTAGCAGCCAGTAATGAACAAAGACCTTTCTTATCCTGCTTTCTGGCAGTTCATATGCCCAATTCTAATTGCTCACCTGGCACAGACAAGTCACAACTGCCTATACAAAACCCAGAAAGAGAGATCCTCTGTGTGCATGTACACTTTATTTATAGGACAGGATCTTATGAAACTAGTGTTAGATTCATACAGCAAATGCAATACAGCATACATCAAGAGAGAACTCAGCGAAAGCCAGGCTTTAATACAAACAGAATTTTAGCAGCAATGTCCCAAAGCTGCCCCTTCACTTCTTTCTGGCTTTTATTGGGGATTTCACTGTACTGAAAGTCTAAAAGGCAGGAAAAATTTCCTTTGCCCCTCCTCAGCTCCCTCAATAGAGCCACGGATTTTTACCACCACCATTTCTCAAATCAGTGCACAAGTAGTGTCTTAGAAAGAGCCCTGTGCTTTTTTAATCAGTTTTCAGTTGGTTTTGTGTCATTTCTTTAAAGTAAAAAGGATGTCTATCCTTTGAGATTTTCAAAACTCAGGTAGATGAGTTAAACCAACCTAAGTTTAAAGACAGCCCTGCTTTGAGCAGACAGTTGGACCAGACATCCTTCTGAACCAAAATTATTCTACAATACTACGAGCTGAAGTGCAGCAGAGAAGTTATTCACATAGAAAGACAAATAATAGTTTTACTGGGATAAAAGAAAAAAATATATAGGAACCTATATTTAAGCATTTAAGCAGTTGTAACTGGCTCATGCATTTTAGAGATTTAAGAAACCCATTCTATGCAACTATTCCTCTTTCTGTCCCTTCACAGCACTGGAGTTTCTGCTTCAAAACTGATTATTATTTATTTCCTTTGATCGCAGGTGAAACACATGACTATCAAAAGAAAAGGACAAATAGTTTACAGGAAGGAAAGAGTATCTGCACCCTGAGCAAGTGTGAATATGTCTATTTATTTTTATATGTGGGAGGTTTGTGGAGCGGTGTTTCTCAGTTTTTTCATTTGTTTTTTACAACGTGGTTAAACTATGAAGCAGCCTGTTGACCTATCACAAGGCTACAGGTCAAACTGTTTGGCAGGGGAGCATAATTTGCCATCATTGCGCATATGGCTGCTCATTAAGGTCACTTTTGAAAGGTGCTCTTCAGTCCTTCACTGCAGTTGCCAGGCTGGTCTGGGCTCCTGCAAGCACTGGCCCTTGTGTGATCACCCCGAGAGGGTGCAACACCCCATGCAGACCCTCCATGAGCACAGCCTACGTTCAGATGCAGGTGCGAACACCACACATTGCCAGGGAAATATATTTGCTCTGGTCTCCACCCGTTTTCTCATGTTACTCACGAAGTAAGTAACGAAGTGACGAAGGCCACTGCCCTTGCAGTCACCGCGGCCAGCGCGAGAGCTCTGTGCCTGTTACGATGAACAAGTTGGGGGCAAAGTCCTCTCACATCCCTGTCAAACTTCTACAAAATAAAGCTTAAGGCCAGAACGGGTATCTACACTACAACGTGTACAGAGCAGACCTGAAGAAGTAAGCTAACAAAATGATTTAAGGTGCAAACTTACATCCTAGAGAAAAGGCAGCACAAGGAATTTTGTCAAACACTGAAACTTTCTTGAATAAATAAACCTTAAATGACCTACCAGAGGAACCCAGTATGTGTAAAGTGCACCAAGCCTCATTTCGACAACAAATTGAGAGCAGGCCAAAAGCAAGAAATAAAGGTTGAAGAAGTATTTGAACTGGTTAAACAACACCTAAAAAAAAGAAAAAGAGAGGAGAGAGGAGATTAACGGAGTTCAGAAGTTACACATATTGAACTAACCACCAGAAACATTTTTGCATGATCCTCTAGTGTTTAAATGCTAACTTAGGGCAGTCTTAAAATAGTCCTGGACACTCAGGACAGATCTGTGTCTGGTTTGCTGCTGCCCTAAGACAGCCTTTGCAGGAGGCCCACCAAACACAACCCAAACATTAATTATTTCCTCCAGCTCCAGGTTCTGCACCTGTCTACTGCAAAGCCACCGAAACTGTGGAAAGCATTGGGGCAGGATGATGAAAAGCAACTTTCTTCACACTTACCCCAGGGAGAAATGTAAAAAAGTTGTATTTCTGATTGTTGATGACATTGCGAGGGTATCTCTGGTCTCTCTTCTCTGGATGGCCAAGCCAAACAGTACGAGGCCTTGGGTCTCTCCTCCCACAGCATCTTAAGCACTCACAACACCTATAGAAGGAACATTAATTAATTAATGAGTTAATTTTTAACACATTTCTATGACTCACACAAGCACCCCAGACCCTCTCCCTCAGCCAGGCAGAACATCACTTCTTCATCTGTCACTCACCACCTCTCATCTGTCAATTACCCACTGTATTACAAGCATCTTAAAACCCAGAGCTTGACGTTCTACCAAATACAGACACTCCACTTGCTAGAGTCACTGCAGACCTGCCTCACGGTCTGCCGAGCTATGAGCAAACATCTCGTATGGTGTTGGAGCTGTTACTAAAACATCACGCAACCACGTGTTCAAAGCTGGGCAGGCCTGCGGTAGTGCTAGAAATGTGCCTGCAGCAACGAGGGGTGGGGAGGCTCCTCGTTTTGCTTTCAAGAAAACGGTGCATGGAGAAGCATGGACCACGCTCATCACTACACTGAGCCAGTGCCTGCTGCCGGGAGAGCTTCCTCCTCCTGTGAACGGAAGGGCTTCAGGAAGCAAGGAGGTGTAGGGTACAGGCAGAAAGGTCCCCCTGCACTGATCCTGGATTGCAGGTTTTACACCAGAAAGTTCCCATGAAAAAAATAGTAACAGGTGATTTCTATTATTTCTTCTGTTTCCTTGTTGGTGTACAGAAAATCCCTCAAACAAAAGGGGGCTTTCGCATTTACAAACTGAACTTAAACAGGAATGCAGGTATCTAAAGTGATCTCACATGTCCTAAAGAAAAGAGGAGATGGAGACAGGCAGAGATTCTCCTCCTTCCCCGCAACCCATACTTCATAGAAATTTACACTTTTTTAACAGTAGGGTTTAATATTTGCATATTTGAATTTTTGCACTTTAAAACAGTCTTGCCAAGGAATAATAAATCTATAAACCTCTAAAAATGAAACCTGAAGAGGAATCTGAAAATAGATACTAAATGATTACTGATTTTATTTTTTACACAGTATTACAGTCATTAGCTCTGTTTATGTTAATGGCAAATTGTATGTTAACTACTAATGAATAATATACATTCTCATCGACTGCGAACACACACTGTAGATCCAGCTACACAGTCTCAGTTTATTACTTTAGCTGTAGTAATTCGTATTTTCAGCTCTTCAGGTGACAGTCCCACTGCAGCACCACCACAGAGGCTGCGAGTTTGGGCAGCCCAGACCAACGCCTGGACCCAGCACCACAAACCCGAGCTAATACAGTCACGTTTCAATTATCCAGCACAACAACTACTTTTTATGCCGTGCAATGCCAGTTTTCCAAAAATTGTTCAACTGAGGCTTATATTAAAGCCATTTATTTAACATCATTTCCAGCCTTTGCTAAAAGTTACATGGGAATTCAGTAAAGCCACATCAACTTCACTAAAGCTGATAGAGTTATTAAAGGATTCCCTCTTCTCTCCAGGGGAGATATTTGAAACCCAGGCTATGAGACGTGAGCGAAGCCAGCTCCCTGAGCACTTGTTCAAACCACCAGCACACCACGCCTCACCGAGGGTCCCCTCAGCAGCCCCGGCCCGGCAGGCGCCCCGACCTCTCCCCGCTGCTGTCGGGGAGCTCTAGACTCACCAGAGTCGATAAATAAATCCCAGCGATGGCACGTGGTGCCTATATTTGAAATTATCCAAGTTAAAATCACCTCCAGCACACCGTTGGGTGTCATACGTAACAAAACCGTATTTCCCGTTTTGGAAACCATTGCGCTGCCTACAAACTTCAGGCTAGACACTGCTTTTCTCAACTAAAAGACCCCGGGATGAGGTGACAGGAAACACTTATTCTCTAGAAAAACATGGAGGATTAACACGTAATTCGTTAAGCAACGGTAACATCAGGGAACTGCAACTTTCCTTCCACAGGCCAGAGCCCGCCCGCCGCGGCCCCCAGGCCGCCCCAGCCCACCCGCCACCAGCTCAAGGCGCCTGGCAGGGCCTTCACCCTGGCTGCTGCGGCCAGCAAAAGGTCAGCTCTCACTCGAATTTTAGCGAATAAAACTGTGCACTGCTCGATGTAAGGAATCCTTACTTGAGGCAATGAATCAAACAGAGCATCGGTTACTTCATGGGAGATGCAAGGACTTACCAGCGATCCCTCTTGTGCCTTGAAAAAGCCTCTCTGTTCAAAATTGCAGCATTGTACCCTCCCGCACTCCAAAAGGGTTATTCTTCTGTTGTCACTGCTTCTTACTGAAAGCCAGTCTCTTCCCAATCCCCCTTCTTCCTTTAAAACCAGCCCTATTGACTTTTACTGACATTTGGGAAAGCCAGTATCAGCTGGATTGATAACCAAAAGCTTCAGAGCTCTTACAAACATCTTTCCAGAAACCACCGCTAAGGTCTGTTCTTGAATCACCGCATTCTGCCACAAAAGTTCAGTTAAATACACACCTAACTGAAAGAAGTAACTATTTAAGGAAGTACACAAAGCATTCAGCTCTTGAAGTCACTGTCTTGCCAGAAGATACATGCAGCATGATGAACTGAGTTCAACTCACGACACAGAAGGTGGTTTCCTACAAAGATACCATTTTTTTTATGTTTTATGCCCTGCTGGATGCAAATAAACAGAAAGAAGTGTTATCAGTTAAGTCAGTTCCTTCAGTAGATAAGAGGAATAAAAATCAACTTTGCTTCCAGAAGTAAAAAAAAGGTGTCGCCATGTGATTCAGTGCTCCATGGGCAGGCATAGACATTAACTTCACAAGGCTGACTTGTGAGATAATTTCTCACAAGCTCTTAAAACTAGACAAAAAGATTTTTGCATAATCAAATTACTTTGACATTATTATATTTCATGAAGAGTAGCAGATGAGCACCGAAAAGGTGGATTTTCTCTAGTCTGTGCTCAAGAACAACTTAAGCTGTAAGCATACAGGTGCCACCCAAACACAGGAGAGAAGGTTTTCTCGCTCAAAGCAGCTCTCAGACCAAAACGCTGACAAGATAGCAGAGCACTACATAGCACCCACGCATCAGTACTGAAGGAACATGAAATCACAAGTTTTGGACGGTGCCAAATAATCTCTTACCAGCTCCATGCAAGTCAAACTCTCCATTCCAAAACCAGAGTACTTGTAAGGTCCCCCAATTTCAGTAACAATCCCACTGCTTTCACCTACACGCTGACCATGTAGAGGTCAGCTTTATCAAAGCCTCAGTAGTTGTCAACTCTGACTTGCAAACTGTTCATTTGCTGAAGAAGAGAAAATTAGGAGAACGTGGGAAAATCTGACAGAAATAAACACAGTGGGTAATGCAAACAGTTCAAAACCCTGATAGCAATGCACACCTAGATCAAAATACTGGAATAAAATAATTGGAGATGCTTTACTGTTCAAGTATATACAAGAGGCATCGGACTTCCTACAGACTTGTAGCACCACTACTGCCATCTCTGCTTACCTTTAGACAGGGACATTGTCTGTTATTCTGCATTTGTAACATTTCTAAGACAATGGATTTCCATCTGGCTATTCCCTAGGTAGCACCATAAAATTGTAACTAACATAAATACCCTAAATGTAACCCACTTTAAAAAGTTACACTTGCCCCTGAAACTATCAATTTTTGTCAACTCTACAAATTTTTTTTTCTTTTTAAGAAAAACTAACTAGTAGATCTTTCTTCCCCTCATGGTTGTGTATAATACCCACATCTGAAAGGCAGCTACCAACATGAGACAAACAGTAAAGCTGGTGTTAAACACTCAAATTCATAAACTCTACTTCAGAAGTATGTTTTATTAGCTTGATACCTTTTAATTGTATTTTTCTTTCATGTTTGCAGATGAAGACCTAAGACAAACAGTCATTTGTATCCCAAATATATTTTAATGGAAAATAGTGAAAATGGTGGTATTTGGATTGCAATAGAAAACAGAGATGAGCTATGGAAAAAAGAGAAGGGAAGGGAAAAGCGGGGAAGGGGAAGGGAAGAAAGAAGAGCAAAAAGAAAGAAAGAAGAGCAAAAAGAAAGAAAGAAGAGCAAAAAGAAAGAAAAAAAGTGGTTTTCCTTCTTTCACGATGGAGAAAACCACACAAGATAGGCTTGATCCCATGTTTTAATGACTGTGAATTCAGAATGACCTCTGTGATAAGGCTCCAAATAAGAGGCTTTGCCCAGGGGAGCAAACCTGGTGTCCACACACCCTGTTTCATCACAACGTGCTTCCCAGTTACAGAGAGTCAGTCGGTCCTTGTAATGAGACACCTGAAACCAGTTACCTTTGCTTATTTTTTAGGTTGGGCCTCTTCTAGGGATTGTACTCAACAGCAAAAATACCTACACACCTATATCATAATATTTACAATAGGATAAGGCTCAAAGGGGGTCCTACTATAATTTAACATATTTTTTATTTGTGCTGGGAATTGTTTTTGCAAAGTAAAATTCACTGATACACTCCAAAGAACTTTCCAAATATCTGGGCAGATCTTCAAACCAATACCTAAATCTCCAAAGCAGACTTCCAGACATTTTAATAAGTTCAATGACTTATCAGCATTTTTTCCTCATGCATTTATAAGAAAACAGAAAATGAACCCCACAAACTAACCAGAACGTTTTACCTTAAGAAGAATGCGCTCTGCCCAACTGCTTACGTACAATTATATCGCTTTTAGTCTTTTCCAAATTACTACGTAATTTGGAAATAAAAGTCTGTGAATGCTAACACCTAGCACTGCAAAATTGCTTACACTTGTGTGGTTCTAAATGAGACAGCAGCCCCCAATACTGACAGCACCTACAAAGGCAGGGAAGTAGAAGGCAATTACACAAAAGTGAAATTACCCAAAATTTAGCACACGTTCTGCAATCAAAGCCATGACCTCTCGTAGCTTTTCCACCACAAAGATACTTGTTGCTGTAAGAATTTTAATTTACAAATGTTGTGTTACTATAAGGTTTGAGAATCAATCTAAAAATAATGCAGTTCCAAGTATAAGCAAGAAAGAGCACGGGAAAATCTGCTGTGTAAAAATAACAGTTTTGTGAAAT